AGTACCAGAAAAGGTTTTCAACAGAGTGTTACTGAACCGGATGAAAGATTTGATGGACGTTCAACATCGAAATGAACAGGTTGAATTCCGTAAGGATCAGTCGTGCACACACTGAGTCATGACACTACATGTTATGATTGGATAATCAGTTAAATGGAATTTGTCACCATACACCAACTTCCTTGACTATGAGAAGGCGTTTGACAGTGTGTATAGGAGAATATTATGGAAACTTTTTAGACGCTATTTTGTGCTTGAGAAAATCGTCAACATCATCTGGAATTCACACGACGGACTACACTGTACAGTGATGGATGGAGCACAGCTAACAGATATATTGGAAGTGAGGACCGGCGTCAGAGAAGAATACTTACTCTCTCCCTTTCTCTCTCTTTATATCATCAACTGGATTATGAAGATCTTTACATATGAGAGGAAGCACGGAATACAATGGACATATTGGGTGCAGCTATACAATTTGGACTTTTCAGATGTTATGACTCTTCTATCTCATGCACAGCAACAAATACAGGTGAAGACAACCAGCGTATCATCAGTCTCTGCATCACTAAGAGTCAACATACAAAAGGGAAAAAGTAAGATCCTCAAATACAACACAACGAGCAACAATCCAATCACACATGATGGAGAAACTCGAAAGAGGTGGAATGTTTCACGCACATGAACAGCATCATCGACAAACGAGGGGGATTCGGTGCAGACATAAATGCAAGGATTGGCAAAGCGAGGGCTGCATCGCTACAGACGAAAAACATATGGAGCCCAGAACAACTGTCAACCAAGATCAAAGCGAGAATCTTCAATACAAACGTCAGGACGGTCCTTTTGTACGGAGCCCAAAACTACCACAACCATTATCAATAAGTACAAGTATTTATAAACAATTGTCTACGTAAGATACTAAATGTCCGTCAGCCGAATACTATCAGCAACAGCTTATTGTGGTAGAGAAAAAAACAGCCTCCACTTAAAGAGAAATTTAGGAAAAGACATTAGGAGTGTATATGAAATGCATCGTTGAGATCATCAGACTGCATTACGAGGCAAGATTTAACTTGAAATCTTGAAGGGAAACGGAAAAGAGAAAGAACAAGTAAAACATTGCGCCGGGAATCGGAAGAAGACATCAGAAGAATAAATAATAACTGAAAAAACTGGAAAGGACTGCCTAGAACAGAGTTGGATGGAGAATCCTAGTGGTTGGTCTATGCTCGTCAATGAAGGATAACAGGCGTATTTAAGTAAATAAGCTAGCTCAATTTATTGAAACATATAGATTCATCCGACATTTGAGTCATTATTATTGTGAGCGAATTTTTATTAATGTTTAGTCAGTAAATCTGTCCGCTTATTTTCGTCCTTGTGTATGCATAGGAGTTTCATCCCACTGTAATAAATAGCAGAGGTTGAAGTTATTAACCAGTTATAATAAAAAGTCGTACCACCAGCAGCAATCAACATTTACTATAAGTCATAACACTAACTGGCTACTTTATACATTTAGTTACTTTGAGTTGAGCAAGAACCAATAATTGAGCAGAATCTTTCCTTACTACGGTGACCGGAACGTTAGTTTATGACATTATTTTTGCAATTTTCTTCTCTCCCACCTATTTTGATTACATCACTTATTTCGAAGTCATAACTTTATGATTTATCTGTTGACTGACTGACCTCAACCTATGTTATTCTTAATTGTTATTAATTTATATTCAACTACTTCATTATATTATCTAATTATTAATTATTTTATCTCTATGATCTCTTATTACTATGTCTGATGATTCAAAATCTTTTCGTATAAATTATATCTAATTACAACACTCATTATATTTCTTCACTCTTACTACTTCACTGTGATGATAGATATTCATTTTACTGTTATGAGTATGTGAATTTCATAATAATTTCGACTTGAAATATTATAGGTTGTAAGCAGCTGATGAGAAACTTATGAAATGAAATTAGTTCATGTTATTCTGCTGAATTCTTTGTTTTTGCTCTACTGACCAGTTAGTCTTGTTTCAAGTCACTATGCTATATGATCAAATGTTTGTTTTATTTCAGTCATCAACTGTCTTGCCTTTGATGTTAGCATAACATTTTTAAATATTAAATCTGTTTTGATAGTCAGTTTTCTAAGTTCAATTGTATGGGTAACCCTCATTCAAGTAATCGCATCATGACATTTTATATTAGTTGTCAGATTAAAATTTTAATCGATCTATAGATAATCCATATTTTCCGTTTCTTTAAAAAATATGTATAAACTGTCATACAATTCCATATTTAATAGTTGAGTTCATGAGTCAGTTAAAGCTAGACCACTATGGAAAACTTGGAAGCGCTGGACGGTTGTTTGTTCTATTGTGGCACTCCTCAGTAGTGCGCATCCACAAGCTCGCTTGCAGGATTGGAACTTGGAACCTTTGGTTTCGCACGTGAGGGCCTAACATCTAGACCACCGAGTCGGCATCCAACAGTGTTACGTCCTTGAATCTGTCTACCCACTTTAGTGCCGAGTATGAATTGTCTAATGTAGATTAAGACCTTGACCCGATAGACTGACTGGCTTAACCTTGAGGCTAGTATGCGTGAGTTCGAAGTGGGGTAGAGAGACGAAAACTATTCTGTCCCTGATTGGCTGGCAAGCACGCGCGCGCGAGAGAGAAGACAAAGACAGCTGGAACACTAATCACTTTATTCCAACCCCGATCTAGCACTCGAATTTCCAATTCAGATTAGGGTGAAAAGTTACATGAGTAAATAGATGAATAATCTGACCACGACGTACAATAATAAGGAAAATACAATTTTGCCCAAAACTGGGGGATTGTAGTAGTAAATAGAGTACAAAAGGTTACGTCTAAATTACAATAGCTTTAGAACAGAAAATGCTATGGCAGTGAATCATACATCAAAAGAAAGCTCATGATCTGTAGAATAGGCTAGGGGCAAAAGTAAATGTTACAGTTTTACAAAGTTTGAATTAAATGAATTAACGTCCCCAAAAATAGCTTCCGTAATTTGTTAAGGCTTCTTGTTTCGCGGTTCACATCAAACAGTGTTAATGTCTAACTTCAACCAATCCACGAAATTACGCCACTGTCCATCACTGTCTTCAGTGAGTTACTGTCTTACAAGAGACCCGGCGTTTGGAATTAATGATTGACTGCGATGGCAAAAATGTAATCAATAACTAAAATTGTTATCATAAATATGCAAAGTGGTTTCTTATCATTTGAACGTATTTTTAGTTATGAACTAGTATCTGTTGGAGGGTAGTTTTGAACTAAAGAGTGTTAGTCAGTTGGTTGTCTCATTCTACTTTACCTCTCCTTAATAGTCATATATTAATAAATCCCATACATAAATCAAGTTTTGTTACAAGTATGATTTTCTTTATTTTATTTGGATGAAATTAGATGACTTACATTCTAAGCATCATTTAATATGTAACACGGAGTGATCCTAAACCGGTAATATAAAGGTCATGGATTTACACTGATATTGAGTCCTCATATAGTTCATAAATCTTGAAAATTTTGTTCCTTATTGAATTTTCCAGAGTTCATAATTATTTTCAGTAGACTCAATATAAAATTAGAAAGGGGGTTTTGTGGAAATTGTAATAATTTAATAATCAGAGGGGGTTTTGTGGAGATTTAGTATTTTTCATAGTTTTAAAGCATGAGTCAATTGAAGCTAGACCACCATGGAAAACCTGGAAACACTGGACGGCCGTTTCGTCCTATTATGGGACTCCTCAGCAGTGCGCATCCACGAACCCGCTCGCGCGAGATTCGAACCCAGGACCTACCAGCTTCGAGCCGAAGCCCTTAACCGATAGACCACTGAGCTGGCATCCAACGGTGTTAATGTCTAACTTCAACTGATCCACGAAGTTGAGCAACCATTCACCAATTGTCTTCAGTGAGTTCCTATCTCACAACAGACGTGGTTTTGAACTCCACTGGTCACTGCTTCTCACTAGAGCTCCTAGTTATACTTCTCGAAGTCACTGGTGAGCATATGATTATATTAATTATCAGAGGGGGTTTTGTGGAGATTTAGTATTTTTCATAGTTTTAAAGCTGGATGCCAGCTCAGTGGTCTATCGGTTAAGGGCTTCGGCTCGAAGCTGGTAGGTCCTGGGTTCGAATCTCGCGCAAGCGGGTTCGTGGATGCGCACTGCTGAGGAGTCCCATAATAGGACGAAACGGCCGTCCAGTGTTTCCAGGTTTTCCATGGTGGTCTAGCTTCAATTGACTCATGCTTTAAAACTATGAATAATTTAATAGTTGAATTCATTAGTCGATTAAAGCTAGACCACGATGGAGAACCATCCGGTACATCCAAGTTTTATATAGTGATCTAGGTTTAATTGACTGATGAATTCAACTATTAAATTAATTAAAAGCTTTAATTAAACTATCATCTCTTATATTCACTTGTTGTTGTTTACTTGTATCTTCCTATTGTCATTTTGGATTGCAATTGATCAGTCTCTTGTTGAAATATGTGCATCCTATATGGACTGCCTCGATATAGCTTTAATTCACAAGCATTATAAGCAAAGATGGACAGTAGCTAGCAGTGAAATCCAGGACGCGTGTTTCGTCCTATTTGTGACTCGTCAGCTGGATGTACCTGCATCTCAAAGTTGGAACTTGAACCCAGTACCGTTCGCTTCAAACACCATCACGTTATCCACTTATCTACAGAGTTCTGATCATCTTTTATTCTTTATACATTATATATTACAACATAATCTATGTCATTAAGTTCTATATTTCATTATATATAAATCAATAAATAATTAACCTATTCTAGAACAAATGTCTATAAACTAAATCAAATGACCATATTTTAACCAACCGAATTCATTTAAACTAGTACATTATTAAATTTGAAAAAAAACCCGAAGTAAAACAAAGTAAAACAATGAAACTAATCAATTAAAACATTCGATTTACAATTATTACTTTAATTCTAATCCTTGAAATGTATTTCATTTAAACAATTACAAATTATACAATTATCTATATTCATTCATTCATTTATTTTACCCTAGCAACAAATGATGTTTCATTCAATTCCTTATTATTTATTTTTAATAATTTATAATTTATTTTATATGACAACAATTTTATCTATTTATAATATAAAAACAACATGGATACCATTAAATGGAAATTGGATCATTTCAAATCAAACATTTTCAAGACAAATTTATTCAAGTTATGGTTTAGATAGTTATAGTGGACAATCGATAATTGGCAGTAATAATAATAATAATCCATTAATTGATGATAATGATGTAAAATTAAGATGGATAGCATATACTAATTGGACATTTATTAAATTTTTCACAATTGAACAATCGTATTTAAATCATACTATCGAATTATATATAGATGGTATAGATACATTTTGTGAGATCATTATCAATAATCATTTATTAGGAGTTACAGAGAATAGTTTTTTATCTTATACATGGAAAATTAGTCATTTATTAAGTTTGAAGCAAGCAAACAAATTAGAATTAAAATGTACATCAACTGTGTTGATAGCAAAGAAAAAAGCGGAACTAATGAAAGTTAGAAAAAAATTTATTCCACCACCATTTTGTTGGCCATCTAGATTTCATGGTGAATGTCATATAAATCTTATTAGAACAACACAATCAATATTTGGTTGGGATTGGGGGTTAACTTTACCGATTCAAGGATTATGGACATTACCTCAATTGGTGATTTCACCTTTAGGTTTAAGATTCGGTGAAGGATTTAAATTCTATGCTTATTCACAACAAAATCAATTTAAGTTATGGAGTGCTGAAATTGATGTAGAACTTGTAAGCAATATGTTGACGTACGATCGTCTATCAAAAGCATGTATCTATTCATATATCGAAGAATTAAATGTATTTGGGAGAAAATGTTTTGGAATGGAAAATAAAGTGATAACTATGGAGGTGTTACATAATCAGTCAAAAGTTAAATTATGGTGGCCTATTGGTACGGAGACTGGACCATACCTTTATACATTAGTACTCTATTTGACAGTTGGTTTCAACAAACTTGTTGATAAAAAGGAATATTCTATAGGTTTTCGTGAAGTGGAATTAATTGAGGTATGTTTTTATTTACGATTTGTGTATGATGACTAAATTCTTCAATCAAAGTTGATTTATCAGTATAAGGTTGTGGAGATTGTCGAGTTTTAATTGAGATCATGAACAGATCCATGTTAGACCACCACTAAAAACCTAGAAGTAATTGACGGCCGCTTCGTTCTAATATGAGAATCTTCAACACTGCGCATCCACGATCCTTTTCACGGGACTCGAACCCAGTATCTTTTGTTTTGCGCGCAAATGTCCAACTTCTTATTTTGTGAGTCTTTTTGAAGAAGCAAAGTTAGCTGTTACAGTAGACGGCTACAACTGATGGGATCCGAAAAGAAAAAAAATAACTGGTTGTTACGTGTCATTAACTAGTCAAAAAAATCACCAAGAATTAAACACTTTCTGCAGTCTAGATAATAGTAAGTCAATAGTATAATAACTATTTTTAGTCTCTAACCCCTGTACTACTAAGCTGTAGATAATTCTTTCATATCTATTGTGAATGATCTGCCTTTTTATCATACTACTTCGAGGAATAATTGATCGAGTAAACGGAGTAAATCAATTCAGTCTAACATAGAGAGTCAGATTTATGTGTACTGATAGCTTAGTAGATAATGAAGGGAATAAAATGTGGCATATTATTATTCATAATGGTTGCTTAACTAAGTTCAGTTTGTGATGTGATCTATAAGATCAAATTATCTCCACAAATCCCTTATACATGAGAAAATAATCAGAAGGATAAGGAAGATTAAGCGAGTATAATAACGGAGCAGTATGATGTAAAATCATCTTACTGTTTAAATTAAGGAAAGTAGTAAAACGAATTATACAGAGGTAATACTAATTCATGGAGCAAAATGAGTGATTTATATCCTGCAAATAATTCATCAGGGCAATAAAAAGGTTTGTGAATGAGTAACTGCGAATTAAGTGTACCTTTTGCTTTTAACTTCACTAACCGATTATCAGTTAGTAAGCAGTTTCATTTTGCATAGGCTTTAATAGTAATATAACTCTACCGATGAAGTTTATGATGTAGCGGATAAACTAAGTGGCTTGAGATAGTGTTGGACTTTATTTGGTGTTTAGTGGTTTAGGGCAATCAGCAAGAAATCTCATGAACAGTTTTCATGCTAGTTGATACTCATTAGAAAAGTGTTTTTACAACGTTGGAGAAATTGGTAGTCTTTCAGTAACCAGAAAGAGATTTGCAGCAGTTCCAATTCATAGATGTTACTGCAGTTCAATTTTTCAAGAACTCAATTACTGACCGAACAGATTATCAGTACGGAACACATGTCTATGACATATTAATCTCAACGAAATCTTATAATTGTATCTTGCTTCTTCAGGGTACCATTCAGTGTGTTTACTTCTGAGGTACACATAAATTAACTTATATTTCAATGTTGTGATTGCGCTGGGTATCTTCCAGTTGTTTGCAACCCTAAAGAAGGATTCATCAAATGTAGAGTTGGTGAAAAAAGTAGTATTTATATTATTCTCTATAAAAATTACAATATATATATCGTAACAGGAGTTCGAAATAATAGAATCATACATTAATAAAACGAAAAAATTATGAACTCTGAAATCATGAGAATAGTACATATGAAGTACAGCTTTTACAATTAAAACGGCTAGAAATGGAAAGGGTAAACTGTGAAATGAATAAGGTAATCATCATTCACATGTAAATCGTCTAAAACAGTGGTACAATTGTGCAATATAGTTTAATCAGTGTTATTACCTACGGTCAGTATATGATATCCCATTGTTCTATCAACTCACGTATAACTCACATATATAAGGATTTAGCTACTACCCTACCTTCCATCTATACTTTCGAATAACGTTCGACTACGTAAACTATATGTTTAATCCGCTCAACTTTATCTAATTATTCAAATATGTAAATATTGGTAGAATTGGGAAACTACGAAGCACTATTTCATACATAAATGAAAATTAAAAAGTGATCATTACTAGACATCGAATCGGAACTTTTTGATAACATAATGGTTAAAAGTCATCAATTTACATTAATTTGATCTTAGAGAAGTATAATTTACACATTTACATTGATACATATAGTTTTAGTTCATGTATCAGTGTTGATCCATCTATCATGCATTGTAATCATTATTATCATATCTTTGAGATCATAACTGAACCGATTTCCTCATATATTATTAAACAGTTAAAAAACGGCTAACCATATTTTTCAAATAGCTGAGTTTTAAAACTGTATGAAATAAAATTTAGGGTAGTTAGTTGACAGTGAGTATTTGGATAAATATATCTTGGCTACTTATGAGTAGTTAAAGACCAGATATAGATAAAAGGAGTGTGAAGGAATCACCAAAACAATATTTAAATAGGTCGGTAACAGTAAATTATTAATTTTATACAAACTTATCTCTGGAATAGAAAGATTTTTCACAGTGAACAATTATGTTGACTGTACTCGATCGTCTCTGCATATAAATATAATATTTACATTGTTGGAGGTGTGATATTTACTCGTGTTAAATTAAGAAGTTCACTATTGATACAGGCAATGATTACATAGCATAAAAATATTGAAAGATATTACTTTGTTGATTAAATAAACATTCACTCATTTAGTGTAATTGGAAATCTGTATACTACTTTGTAGGGTTAGATGAAAATATCTGACTGTTAGCGCTCATGGAAAGTGAAAATTAGATTAAAAGGTTTTAGAATAACAATGAAGTCCTCGTTAACATGTATTAAACAACCTACCCAAGACAATATACCTTTCTTCGGTACGTCTAAAATGAAGCTGTAAACTCTAAATTTGCGCTAAAGCCCCACTACTTAGTGCCTTTAGATTAATGTGATCCATCAATTTCTACGAAATCAGTTGTAGAGTTTCTTTTCTGTTAAGTATGTTTATCTAATTTATCCACTTCCTATCTCCACAGTAACTAGCTGATGTTCGCATTCACTTTCTACTTTCCTATGCTATTTCAATATAATAATTTAGCACTGTTATTTGTGAAATTTATATAGGCCGATATACAATTATTTTGCTTTTGATATTGCTTAGAATTAGTTCGCTTATAATTACAGAAAATAAAATATACTGAGTTTACATTTTAGATTGTATAATTTTAGGATTATGTGGATTCATCACAAATTGGATTGGGTCGAACATTTTATTTTAAAATTAATGGTTTACCAATATTTATAAAAGGTGCTAATTGGATACCTGCAAGATATATGCCAGGTAGACAGTATAATTTAATGCACAATGTAACGAATGATCGTATTTGGTTAGAAAAACGACTTCTTCGTTCAGCAAGTTTATCAGGAATTAATTTAATAAGAATATGGGGTGGTGGACGTTATGAAGATGATGAATTTTACAAAGAAGCAGATAAGCTTGGTTTGATGATATGGCATGATATGATGTTTGCAGTAGCTACTTATCCAGATAAAGAAAGGTGATTTTTTTTAGAAATCATTGAAAGATGGAATCGACTCTTAAATAATTAGTTTCTTGGTTTTCAGTAGTTGTCCAATTGAGATCCATATGTGATGCAATCTAAAAAATTCACAAATCTTCCTAAAATTTAATCCTATTTGTAATAATGTTGTCACTGTTGACTAATTTAGAGAGTTGATTCCCTAAGTTCCGGTTAGAAACCATGATTAACAAGGTTCAACCATAGTGTGTGTGAGATAGTTATTCCGTAAAGATAATGGAATAGAATTGAGTAATATTGCTAATTTATTGAAGTTTGATATATAAACCACAATATGCCGGCTCAATAGTCTAGAGGTTGAGCTGTCACCACGAGATTCGAAGGTTCCAGGTTCGACGTAGTTGTTCACTGAAGACGGATTCTATACTAAAACAAAACAACTATCTAGTACCCGCTGGTTTTCAGTATTCATCTAAACGAGATCAGTTCTATATTTACTAAATTTTGAACAACATCAATTTAACTGACATTATATTTTCATTGTTAATACTCATTTATCGTTATGATAAAAAGCTTCTTTCATCTAATTATTCTCATTATTAAAACTTTCGAGCTTTTTGGAATTGTTCTAAGTAAATCGTGGCAGTCAGAAAGTATTCAGGAGGATATTCTACATCATTATTGATTCACTTCAAGGTAGATATAGTTAAAAAAGAATATCACTGAATAACGTCCTCTGTGTGAATAAAGTTTTTTTCATGGTCTCGTAAATTTTAACTCATTATCATCTGATTTTACACTGTCCGATGAAAATTGAATTAGAAGTGGTCGAGTGATGAATTATTGCCAAGTATTATTGAATAGCAGTTTATTGGATATTGGTATCATTTAGTGGAATTGATAGATGAATACCATTAAACTGGGTTGCTAACGAATACAAATCAATGTATGATGAAGATAATTTGTTAACACTGATAAGATTAAATGATGTTCAATGTCATTTCCTTATATTTTTTTGAAGCCAATATTTTTGAAGTTTGAATAGTAGCTGAGATGAACAGGAAAGGATTTATTAAATTCCATAAATTTGTTTAAGTTCTTTAAGAAACATTATTAATGTGATGATAAAGTTTCTAAACTGATACATAATGGTAAATTGAATGGTATAGAAGAAATATATGTCTGTTGTGAGATAGTAACTCACTGAAGACAATGGTGGACGGTTTCTCAATTTCGTGGATTGGTTGAAGTTAGACATTAACACTGTTGGATGCCGACTCAAAAATTTAGAGGTTAAGCGATCGCGCACGAGACTGAGAGGTCCTGGGTTCGAATCTCACGAGGTGGAAACGTGGATGCGCACTAATGAGGAGTTCTGCAATAGAAGGAAACAACCGTTCAGTGCTTACTGGTGTTCCATGGTGGTCTAGCTTCAATTTACTCATGATTTCAACTATAAAATATATGTGTTTGATTATTATCAAACGTTCAGGATATAAAACTTGAATTCGAACAAATTTATCACTCTCAACTCTCGTTTTCCTTATTATTGTTTATGAAGTACATTTTATAGTGTAGATTTGTATGGATGATTCTATTAAAAACGAATATTGTTAGCATTAAATAGCAGTAATTGTCCATGGTTTATGATGGAACTCAATAAATATTGTACAATTAAATCTGTATACATAAATGGTAAATAATCCAAGCGGTAATGAATAAAACAATCATTGTACATTTAAATTATCAGTCTACAAAAATATCGATTTGAATTTAACCTACTCTTATAACTATCGAGTTGTAAACTGTTTATATGTATTGATTCATTTTTGTATTGGTTGTTTGAGTCTTCCTATTGATGTTTATGACTGAAATCGATTAGTTTCATATTTACATGTAAGCATCCTTCGCGGATTTCCTCGATATTTGCTGAAGTCCCAAACATTATAAGTAGTGATGGGGGAGTGAACATCAACTCTGAGATGCATGCACATCCAGTTTACGAGTCCAAAGAAGGACGAAATGCGCATCCTGGATTCCACTGTTAGTCACCATCCACCTTTGTTTATATGTATTTTCAAAAAATAGTAATTACTTGGTTGAATAAAAATGTACATTTCTTTTTTTCCATTAGAAATGATACTGTTGAAGAAGAAATCAGAAGACAGATATCACGATTACACTATCATCCATCTATTATAGTCTGGTCGACAGATAATGAAGTGAAACAAGCTATTGCAAATGGTTGGTATAGTCAACCGATGGATTTAACATTATTAAGTATATTTAAATCTAGATTCGTCGAATCAATATTCAATGTAATCAATGACGAAGAGAATGGTCAAAGTTCAGCCAGACATTGGGAAGTTTCAAAATATAAACCTAGAAGATGTCTTATCTCTTCACCTGGTAATGGATACCTAACAGAGAAATTCAGAGGATTGGATCCGGACCCAGAAGTAGGTAGTACCATGAATTTAGTTAGCAAATAGTATTTAGTACAATAAAATTTACTATATTTGACTTGATGGTATCAGTTTGTTTTGAAAGAATCATAGTGAAAACAAAATCAGGTTTACACACATAACTGTTTATAATAAAACAGCAAGTGTATCAACAGTATAAATGATATTTTAGCTCAATTCACTCTGGGCATCGTAGCCGGCACAGCTTTACGAAAAAGTAAGTATGATTAGATTTGATGAAAATGAACAATTTCAAGTTTTCTCAAAAGTCAGTTGGTTGAAGTTGGAAAGGATTACTAGGCAAAAATATTACCAGAATCACACATGCCAATCATTCATGATAAAGATTTATGGAATCTTTAATTCTGAATATTATATTATTAGTAGTGATAATTAATGTGACATCAAACTCTTCGTCCATAACTGGATCCGAAACAGATATGTGAATTAGTTACAGTGCTAACTTACATTCACATCCCAGATATCAACTAAACCATTCTATTTTTTATTTCATTGAATTGTGAAATACCTAGATAGTAATAAAGTTAGTTAACTTTGATAATCTGAATTGAATGAAGGTGGATTTAAAACCAAATATATTATATCCTGGAATTATACAGAAATTGTAAAAGAAGGAAAGGATACTCTGTAGGTAATTTTGACAAAGATTTCCACAAAGTTTTTATTTATTTCTGATGTTTGTATATGATGAATAAAATCTTGATAATACGTGGCCTAGTGCATTCATCGGGAAATAAGTCAATTCTCGTTCGGAATAGCGATGCTGTTAAGAAGATGTAAACTAGTCGGATCGGAATGTCCGAAAAAACTGTTTTAACTTTCTATCTGTATTTTCGTAGTTGAAATCATGAGTCAGTTGAAGCTAGACTTCCAAGGAAAACCTGGAAGCATTGGACGGCCATTTCGTCCTATTGTGGGACTATCTGTAATCAGGTATGAACAATTTGATTGGTTGATGTTGCGATTACAGAAGATCACGTCATTTTAAATCATTATCCAGTTTATAACAATGACGAAGGATAAATTCATACTAAATCAAGCTCCTCAAATCCCTTCGTTGAATTCTAATCTGGTGCATTATAGTAAATTTTCCAATATAGTTGTAATGACAAGCCGTAATCTGTGAGATCAGTTAAATAGGGATTGAAAACAAATATACATCCCAACTACTTCAAAAGTTATTTAATCGAGTTTCTATGTTTATACTGGAGTACTGACTTAAATTGAATTGACAGTAGTACTAGATCGATTTATGAGTCATAAATTTTCGTTCTTAGTATCTTCTCAGACTCGGATTACAAAGGTAAATTTAAGGTAGTTTGACTAGTCGCTGACCATTCAGTTGATGCATATTTCCTTATGCTCAACTTGGGATTTATGAATTGCTTTCAACTGATAGATAGTATAGCAGTGAACAGATACTCAAGCAGAGAAGACCAATGTCTGCATAAAATATAAAAACTATACATTAAATACTTCATTTTCACATTTTCCATCTATTGTCTCTTATAAAATTAATCGTTTCTTCATTACTGTTGTTATTACAATTACTCTCTGTATACATTCCTGTTCTCTTCAATTCGATCTTCTCAACCTTCTGCTGCCAGGCATTCCACTTCTGATTGGTGTTACATACTACTTATGCCTGTCAACACAAGTGGCATACACAAACTATAACTTAGTGAACATTTTTCAAATTATACCATTAGAGTGTGAAGTACTTTATTTTAACTTGAGATATTGTTCACTGTCTAGTCAGTTAACATAAATAGTTGCGAACCAGTCAAGTAATGTGTTGTTTACTCGTTTGTATAGATTTAAAATCAATATTTTTAGTAAACAATCAATAATTTGAGGTCAATAATAATAATTTTATTGATTAAAGCACTGTAGGAAAGAACAGTGAAATTTCATTTGAAAGTCTATTAATTGGAGTTTAATATGACTAACTTCGTAAGAAAAATCAGATGAGATTTTATCAGAAAAATATTAACTTTCGTTTATTTGTACTGAACATCATAATTAAATAAACACTCTCTTAATCACTACTATTCTGATAATTATTAATTAGATTGTTAACATAGACCGAGATCTAAAATTTTTCTTCTTGTCCATTGGTGAGATTTCTTAAAAAAATAAGACAATTATCTCAACTTTTAATGGGTAATATATATTCGGTCTGTACTACTAAAACGGTATTATGCAGACCATTTACAATCTAGTGACTGATAGATTTATGACTAGAAACTTATGACAATCATTACTGTTTTATTCAGTAAGAAAGACTGAAAGATAGTCATTGTATGAATATCAATGTTTAATTCTCTCACATTTTCACTACGCAATACAAAATGATTAGTTTAACACTTACATAAGTCAAGCCTTTTATTTATTTCAAAAAGTAAACTATAATTTTCTAGAATTCAATAACGTGGATTGATGACGGAATATGATGATTTTAAGGTTATACACAAAAGAGTTTGACAGTTAACTCTACTGACAACTCTTAAACTAGACTAAATAACACAGTACCAAAATTTCATCGAACGTTGAAACAATGATTGTCTTTGATTTCATCAACTGGAATATTTTAGTGTTTAAAATCACGTTGCTTGACTGATTTGTCAGTGTATTACACATTTTAAGTATAGGCATGTGAAGATTGTTGAGTTTCATTGAAGCTGTGGACCGATCAGTATTGGACTACCATTAAAAACCCGGAATCACTGTATAGCCGTCTCGTCCTGATGTGACTCATTAGCGGTGCTGACCCACGATCCCACATGCGGCGGTCGAACCTAGGACCAGGAATTTCAGTGTTGAGCGTAAACGCTGAACCTGTAGATCGCCGAGGCTGGACACATAGGCGTTAATGTTTAACTTCAATCATCTTTAGTGGAAGATTTGTGAATACCTATAGATAAATTTGCGTATCTTTATCATTCTTCAGAATCCACTATATGGTGATATACATTATTACACGTATTCTGGTGATTTATGGTCAGAATCTAATTTTGTACTAGGACGTTTTATATCAGAGTTCGGCATACAATCCATTCCGTCTCCATTAGCTTGGGCCAGATCAATTTCAAATATATCTAATTCAAAACAATGGGATGTATTCGGTTCACTGATGGATCATAGACAACATCATCAATTAGGTCATCAAATGCTCAGATTATCACTTCAGTATATTACGAAACCAGCAGATAGACAAGATCCAATTCGTAATTACAGTCGGTAAGATGAATATTGAATGAATTTGCGTTTCATAGTTTGTTCAAAAGTGTATGCGTAATTATGTGAATTCTGTTTAGTAGGGATTATCAAGTCAATTAGTATAAAGGTTAGTGAGAAATAATCTCTAAAGAGAACAAGTTAACTTTAGTCAACTAAGTATGTTATTTGCTTTCTGAGTTAATCCAATATGTTGACCTGATTTATGCTCGAATGGGGTGATCTGTTAATTTTTATGCTTCATCAAAATAGAACATTATTTCTGATTAGTTACTTTTCTTATTTTATAGTATCTTATATATATTGGATAAAAGGGTTAACTGAATATATCTTCATTTATATCTTTGAACGAAGAAAATGCCATAGGTTGGTTAATTTTCAGTGTTAAGTGAAGCTAAGTCAATACTAATTGATTATAACTTATCATTAAGAATTTATTACATTCCATTTTTATACTTCTACTTAGTATGATACATTTATGATCATTTCTAAAGATCAAATCTACGATTCAAAAGTCAGTTTAAGTTATTATGAATCAGGTTTCTCATATTAAATTTTTCAAAGTGTTAAACAAGAGTTTTTTCAGGTTAATATTAAAGTGGTCTTTGTTGAGCATAAGTAATAATTAAGTATTTTGATTATGTTATATTTGTTTTGATAATAATCACTTAAGTAAACATATTGCTAATAACTAAAATTAGCATTTTGTTGTGGCCGGTATTCGATATTATCCTTAAACTTCGTATACTGTTCGTCCTGATAACCGTCACTAGATAACGTCCTCAACGGTGTATAAATAAGAAGACGAATTAGAAGCGTTGGTCGCTTTTATTATTGCACCACACACAAGTCACTAAACCACAGGTACTCGAAAGAAGATTGAAAGGCTAGTGCAGTAAAGCAAGCGAGTGAGTCGAATGAATAGGATTAATATATATATAATAGGGAAATCAAGGAATTATCTGATCAATTAAGCGATTAACACTAAAGCTAGCAGAACGAATATGTGCGTTATTTATTATTGTTTAAACACATAAATATTGGTACAAGGAAGCACCAGATACATATGCGCCACACAAATCTCATTCGATTTGCTTGAGGGCTGTGATACTGCACAGGTGCCCAGACTGAAGCAGGTGGTTTTTTTTAGGGGACCACACCCGGAGCCTTTGACTGAAAGATCTGATCCAGAAGGAAGTGGAGCATCGTGAGGAGATGCAGTCCCATGGTAGCCGGTGACTAACAATCGGTTGATACGCCATTTGTTCCCTCAGGATACTGGAGCCCATGTGCATCATTGGTTTGGAATCATGGTTTTCCAACTCCCCTAGGTGAACTCGCCTTGTCCACCAACCCGGTTAAAGCGCCGGACATTTGCTTTTCGTCCTCTCAATTTCATAAACAACAGTAATGCCACGAGAAGGCAGTGAGTAGGACTTCCCTGGCAGAAGGTGTATATTCGCTGGCCATGTGAGAGCATTTCGAGAGGGAGAGGTGACTCTCCCCAATCTTGGCCGTACCAGGGAATGTAATCTCAAGCATACATATTCATACAAACGCAACAATAATAAGGGTAAAATGGCATAGATAGGTTGTTATTGTACGAATGACTCTGTCCAATAAATAAGTTAGCAAAAGTGCTTAACCAAATTAAATGTGAATAAACTCAAATGTACGTAAGCTGCTATAATGAATATTATTATTATTACTTTTTAGATGGGCATATATTAGTCAATTAAATCAACTTATGTGTTTACGTACACAAATCAACTTATACATGAGACATAAATGTCGTATAAGATTATCAAATTCTACAGTTATATCAACTAATAAATTTATTACAATGGGTACAATATATTGGCAATTAAATGATATATGGTCAGCACCTAGTTGGTCAACTATAGATTCAGTTGGTCAATGGAAATTATCACATTATTCTGCTATAAAAGAATATTATGATCTATCAAAATGGGGACGTATAGCTATACAAGTCAATAATAATAATAATAATAATAATAATAATAATAATAATAATAATAATAATAATAATAATAATAATAATAATAATGGAATCATTGAAGCTGATTGGATACCAAATATACAAAATAATAATACTAATTTTTTTCCTAATGAATTTCAATTAATTTGTTATACAATTTGGTCATTTATACCAACTAATCATAAAATTTTAAAAATTCCTATACCAAAATTTATTCAATGTCCAATAAGAATATTTAATAAATCATTGAAAGATTTAAATAAATTATGCCATTTTAATTATAAAAAAGGTAGAATTATTCAAATAATAATAAAAAATAATTTTAAATTTATAAAAACGGATCAAAATTTATTTTTATTAGATAAACCAAAAGAAATTAAAAAATGGCCAAAAAATTCTGGTAAATATTTAAAAATTAAATCAATAAAACAATTAAAATCAATAGAAAATAATTTTTTGAAAATTCAAAAAATGGCACCATTTTTAACAAATTTTATTTATGAATTAATAATTGAATCAAAATCACCTGAATTATTTATTCATTTAGATATAAATCCTAGACTTAATCTAGAATATTGGTTTTCAATAAATGGTTTTCATTTAATGAATGAAAAAGAGAAAAGAATATATTTATATTTATCAGGGAATAAAACTATATCGATAGATTTATTAAAATCTTATATATGGATTGAATCACTTGCAACATTGAATATGAAAGAATTGAGATAAAAAAATTTGTGTTTTTATTTTTATTTTTAAATTTACTACTTTCAAATATATTCATTTTTTATAATTCAGTAATAGATTACGTATGTTGTAAAACTATTGATTCGTTAGACTGTCATACGCTTATATATATAAATTTATTTATTTAAAGTGGTTACTAACAAGTATGTTGTTGATTAAAAGTAAAATATCTTGCCAAAAATTGTTACAAAACAAACAAACATAATTGATTCTAAAAGACAATGGTATTTTGATATTCAGTAACAACCATCCTGAAGACAATGAAAGCTTGTAGTGCCGTGCTTCGTTAATCGTTCAACTCGATAACCCTTATAATACAAATTTTAATGGTGCATAAAATCAGAAGGCAAAGAGAAGCGGCAACTATATGTTAAATAATCCAGGTCAGAAAGTTATAAGCACATAAGCAAATGTCAGAGAGCGAAGCGAAGATGACACGTGTTGGAGATGGCGGGTAAGCCAACTCGCTTTAATCAATATTTATAGTCAGACAAGAATAAGTTACAGACATGTGATGAATAAGATAAAAAGTGTACATACATATACACTCATATAAAAAATAGTCAGGGTTAATAAGTGAATAATTAGCAAGGTGAAAACATGACTCAAGATGGATAGGTAAATTGGCTTGTCCAGAAGCTAGAATAAAGTATATGGGCTTAATAATAACAACCGATACTACAACTTCGTAATTCTTTCATGTAACTTCAAATTCGTAATTCTTTCATGTAACTTCAAATTCGTAGAGAAAACAGATTTCTTTGGATTATTTCATAAACCAGTTGATTAATCATAAACAAACAGTACTTTACGGTATAACTCTACCTTAAAGTAAAACAGCTGAATTCAAGAAAGTTGTTTACTTTTCGTAACGTATACCTCAGCAGTAAATGTAATATGTACCGACACTAGAAGCTCCGACAAGATAGTTTTTTAGTAATTTAATTGGACAGTTGGCTGATGAAAGCTAGAGAATACCAAAACGGTTGCTCTGTGCTAAATAGGGAAACCAGTGTAAGAAGCCGTTTAGTATCCGAAATATCGAGGAATCAAGTTTCACGAATAGCACACTATTATTCAAAGTCTGAGTTGCGACCCGATGAATCACTTATGTAGTACGCTAATTTTGTTAATAGGTTTGGAATATATACGTAAGTGTTCTACTTAAGGATGGAAAAACAATCGCAGTGATCTTTACGAAGCGGTTTACCTTCTTAAAATGGTTAATATCTACGGAATAGCTTTTTATTGAAATATCGAGACATATCCTAAATTTTATCATAATAATATGACTTTAGGAACAATACAGTTTTAATGAATTTGGACTGTGTTATAAACGTATAGTATGCCGTCGCTGATTGTTATAAACGTAAAGGAGAGGATGCTGGTTATAACAGTAGGGGTTCTTGTTATAACAGTCCTTTTACTTCTTACACGTATGTGGGACGTTAATTTGCCTTAGACGAATATCTACCCTAGATTCCCACCCAGTGTCTATTCTACAGGACTTCAACAGAACTCAGATCAAGAACACGAGATTAGCCTGACTATAACGTCAATATATTTCCACACCAAAATCCGACACAAGGAACAGTCAATCAATAAGTGTCCATCAACAAGGAACAGTTAATACATAATAAGGATAGAGGAATATATATATATAACACATAACACCTGTCATCCTATCTAATGTCTGACTCATCGAGACAACCAATCATTGACATTCTCGCCCACACATCACCTTCCTCGCGAAGTTTGATCGTATGATTTCACTTTGGGGTCTATTTGAAAAAATTTCGTTTGTTTCCGTTTCCTGAATGACCTTCGTCTAACTTCTGATTCTAGATCATTTTTTCTCATTTCAACTTGTGGTGGTGGTGGAATATCAAATGTATCACATAATACTTCCATTGGTAATGGTTTGAGTTTAGATGACTCATAAACACATTTTCTATCTCGCAGTTGATTTACATGTCTAATAATTAGTGTATTTTCGACCATCACTTCATATAATACTGTACCACGTCGTTTTTTTATAAACCCAAATATCCATTTTGGCTTGCCAGGCCGGAAATCCCGTGCATAGACTGAGTCACCTACTTTGAACTCTCGAATTTTCGGGCAATTCCCTTTCTTATTTTTTTGTAGTCCACTCATTCTGTCTTTCGGGTTCAAAACATCAAAAAATGTTCTAATCGGTCGGCCAAACATTATTTCGGCTGGAGATTTCCCATCTTGACAGTTTGGACTTGGCGTAATTCTATAAGAAATGAGAAATTGTTGCAGAGCCTCTTCTACGTTGCCTTCTCCTCCCATCTTTAAGAGAGCTCGTTTAAGAATATCAACAAATTTCTCTGCCTGCCCGTTCGACTTAGGGTGATGCAGTGGAGTTCTAACGTGTTCGATTCCATTCTGTTTACAGAACTCCGTAAACTCTAACGACATGAACTGCGTTCCATTATCTGAAACCAAAACATTAGGTGTACCAAACCTACTAAATAGTTGTCTCAGATGTAGCAGTGTTTCAGACGTAGATGGTCTTCGTACCACATAAATTTCAGTCCATTTTGAGTATGAATCAACCACCACCAAAAAATATTGTCCACTTATTGGTCCAGCATAATCAACGTGTAATCGGACCCAAGGCTTTTTCGTTTCTGGCCATGGCTGGGATTCTACCTTCGGTGGATCTTTTGCACCTTCGGCACATCGCCGACATCTCAATACGTATTCTTCCACAGCCTTATCCATGAATGGCCAATAGATATAACTACGCATAACAGCCTTCATTCTGTTCATTCCCGGATGACCAATGTGAAACTGTTTAAGCACAAAAAGCTGAAGAGATTTAGGGATAACAACACGTTCACCATACATCAAACAATTATCATAAATCGATATAGACTCACGTCTCAAGAAAAATTGGTGAAACTCTCGATCAGCTTTGTCCTGTTTCCAACACTTTAAAACAACTTCTTTTAAGTAGAGGATCACTAGTCGTGGCTTCTTTAACTGCTTCTGCCGTTACTGGTGGGATTCTGATGGCATCACAGAACACTCTTTTTATTTCCGGTTCAAGTGATATGGAAGCAACCACGCAATCTTCCTCTAATTTGCAGCTATGTGGTATTACTTTTGAAGTCTGCATCTTATTTCCTTTACGGAACTTATGCTCACGGTCAAAAACCTTTGGTTTACTTTTACAACATATTTGAGCATGACCATATTTACCACATTGAAAGCATACTCGTTTCTTAAAGTAGCAAACTTTGGCAGAATGACACTTACCACATCGCCAACATGACGTTTTATGTTCCACTTGGTTTGGGATTTGCTGGGAGTTCGAATCTTTATTTCCATTAAAAGATTTACGTACGGCTTTAACTCCCACGTGTTCACTGTTCCTTTCTACGAGATTTGTGTCATGCTTCAAATTAATCATTCTTTGACACTCTTTGGATACTGATTGTAGACTGGCATTAGGATCTTGTTCGATTCTCGCTAGAATCCGTGTTCTAATATCTGCATCTACTGGAGATTGTAATCCACATACAAAAATAAGGCACTTGAACTGATCTGAGGACATTTCATGTAATCGGAACCGCTCACATTCCCGGTTCACGATGCTTGCGTACGTTACATAATCGTCCTGTACTTTCTTTACAAGTTGAAGACACTGGTATCTAGTGTGAAAAATTGATGACCGTTCACCAAATATACGAGTCAGGCATTCAACTGTTTCTTTGAACGTTATGTCGGATGGCTTCTTTGGGAGGATAAAATTACAGAATTTTTCATGTTCGGACACTCCGAGTTTTCTTAATAATAATCTCAATTTTGAACTTTCGTCCCACTCTTTACATTCATTATTAAACAAATCCTCATGGCGTTTAAACCACGCCTCAAAAGTAACTCCACTTTCTGGATCAAATCAAATTCAGTTATTGAATTTGCAATAGAATCCGGAGTCATAGTGGAATTAGACACATCAGTTCTTGAGGATATCGACATATTTTTGACTAATAATTCGATAAGAGTATTTTGCTGTTGCAATAAGGTTTTCAGATCATCCATTTTCTTGATACAAAATTCACTTTAACTGAATACGTAAGCGTAGATCCGTTTTAATCACCGTCGCCAATTGTTATAAACGTATAGTATGCCGTCGCTGATTGTTATAAACGTAAAGGAGAGGATGCTGGTTATAACAGTAGGGGTTCTTGTTATAACAGTCCTTTTACTTCTTACACGTATGTGGGACGTTAATTTGCCTTAGACGAATATCTACCCTAGATTCCCACCCAGTGTCTATTCTACAGGACTTCAACAGAACTCAGATCAAGAACACGAGATTAGCCTGACTATAACGTCAATATATTTCCACACCAAAATCCGACACAAGGAACAGTCAATCAATAAGTGTCCATCAACAAGGAACAGTTAATACATAATAAGGATAGAGGAATATATATATATATAACACATAACACCTGTCATCCTATCTAATGTCTGACTCATCGAGACAACCAATCATTGACATTCTCGCCCACACATCAGACTGATACCTTGGAAAGTATCGGAGGTCTTTGTTGTTACCACGACGTAATTTTATTAGCCCAATTCCAGTTATGAAATACATATACGTGGTTTTTCGCTTTGAGTGTAATGCAAGAAATAATTTTTATTTGAATGGTCTACAACATCACATTGTGGAGCGTATAATTGAAACATAAATGGACGTAAGTATGATGAAGACGAAGCCCTAGTTTAACTTGTATGCAACAATTAGTGAATACAACATTTATGTGCCCAAAGACAGTGTTGATAGATATACATAAATCCAAATAATTAACTCAATGACTAAACAATAAGAGGTGATGATGAGTTCTAGCAATTAAGGTTGTCAAACTAATAACTCATCAGTCCATACGACCATGATTTTCAATAATATATCGCGAAAAAATCCCAGTAAAACATATAAATATTGTGAACCAAGAGGAGAGTTGGCATGGACACATATTTAAAACCTGGTCAAACTAATTATCATTACTTCTAAAGTTTGAATACGACTATAATTATGGAACATCCATATATTGACTAGGTTCATAGTCTTTATTTTATAATCATATAATAAATGAAAGCAATACACAGTGTAATCAATGCTTGATAGAGTAAGTGTGATGGCTAAAGAAAATAACTGATTATCTTGATTCGGATAAATAAGACGCTGTTTAAATTTATGGAAGTCGACATTATTAAAATTATTCCAATAAATTTAACAAAATGAGTTACATGAACAATCTGTTAAGTTTATAGCACTTAAAGAGGAGAGATACCATGAAAAAGTTGTTGGATGGTGTCTTACTATTTAACAATGTGCTTAAATTAAAATCTAATTATATCCTCCCCAACCATAATGATAAGTTTGGAGTTGGTTTGGTTCTTTCAAGTACAAGTTATCAAATGACTGACAATTTGAAATTGACTTGTACATAAATATTAGAATACTTGTTTATTGTGAATTCGGTTTCAGATACAATGATTTATACTATGTAGATAGTTGTATTACCAAGTGAGAATAGCCGCTTATTTTATAAGATTACCTAAGTGCTCATGCCGCTAATAATTTCGATTTACGTTGAACGTGTTGTGGTCGCATGATACTCCACCCCCCTTGCAAACATTCAGGTCAGTGTATGGGCATAATATGAACAAAACAACTCAAATGAAAACACGTTACACCAATTATTTAAACATTTTAAGTAGAAAAAAACTAAGCATAACAGTAAAGAAATAATACGTACAATTACAATCATTAGATTCTGATGAGAAATACTTGTTCATAATTAATATAAAATAAAATTAAGAGGAAAATTTGAAAACAATAATCTTAAGTTATTTTAAATGTCATTACCCTTAAAAAATATTGGATAACGTAATAGTATCAGTAACAATGCGGAAGAGATAACAAAAATATTAAAAGACTATCGATTTTACAATTCAATGAGATGAAATATAATAACATTATAAATTAGGGAAATGACCACTGGTAATATTCTGTTAAACTTTAGATCGGAAGAGAGATTTATGTAATAAAGTAGAAAAGAAAAAAAGAAGGACCATAAGCGCCATAATGTTGGAGAATGCAAAAAAACAGAATACTTTATTTATAGGTATGACAAAAAAGGAAATAACAACATAGACAAAATGAACTTTTCAATTGTAGTCTTATGATGTCCATAGTGAATACAGAACAAAAAAGCGAATTAAGGATAGAAAGAGAACAAGGAGAACAAATGTGGATATGTCCTATATTTTTGACATTCCTTATAGTATTTATAAATAGAGGAAATATTAGGCAAATGTTAAGTTAAAGGTTGTGTATATGTATGTCAATATGGATAGCTTGCTTATAATAACCAATGTAATACACTTTCTATACAAAACCTAATTTACCTGAGAGCTGTAGTAAAATACAGTTTATAAAAAAAAGACCCATTATTATTGTCACGTTAGATGAAAACAAAAAAAAAAAGAAATTCAACAAAAATAATATAAGACTTTCGAACCGAGATTGAATTGTGAAGGCGCATAAATTAACAAAACAAATCATTTTAATTTAATGTATATTTTGGAAAGCATAATCCTAAACGTGATTCAATACCACAAAATGTGGTCGTTGCATATTGATAACCGCCAATATGATCAGGATTAGTTGAAAATACTGAAGTATGACGATTAGTTGGTTTACCAGAAAGTTCTCTAAAAAAAACCCAGATTAATTTTCGAATGATGAGTGAATTTTAGGTTTATGGTAAAATCGTCAATGAAAAAAAATAGACTAAAGAACTAATTATAAAATAATATATGGTTATTTTATAATAATCAGAGACAAATCATGCCAATCAAGATCTCAACTTTCTAACCTGTTACCACATCTAACCAAATAACATTAAAGTATTATGTAAGATATGTCGAGTCACTTATACTAAGGATCACAATGTAACTTGATAAATAGAATTTTATCAGCCCAAACAACTACACAAGCAAAAGATATATTGGTTACTACCAATCAGTAATCAATCAGTGTATATCGTAATTGAATGTTTCTTACTGGAGTGTTGTAAGTATCTCCTATTTGCATTAAGAAACTTAAACTCCGGGTTGGCTATTTCAGCTAGTTTGTGCAGGTCAAATGATTGACAATTTGAAATTGAATTGTACACATATATATTAAAATACTTGTTTGTTATGAATTCAATTTCAGATGTAATGATTTATACTATTTAGATAGTTGCATTATCAAGTGAGAATAGCTGCTTCGTTTACAAGACTACTTTAGTACCCATATCACTGGCAGATTCGACTGATGTTGCAGGTGTTATGGCTTGTAGCCTGGATGGTTTGGTTGTGAAGCATGTACCGATGACATCGTTCAGAAGATCAATGAAAGCTCCGGAAACAAACCAACCAACTCATAGGCCAAAAAGACCCCCCATTTTTGAGCTACAAATGTTCTGAATCCTTTCAATCTCAACTCCGAGAGCTACTAAAACTAGTTGACATAAATACATCGCAGAAATTATTAACAACATCGACTATCATACAAATTTTATAATAGCAATAAAATGACTCATGACCATAACCAGTCAGTCAGCTACGACGTAGGACCAGGCACACATATGCATCGGTCCAAGTTGTCATATCTCGTTAGCACAACAAAATGAACACCGGATTCATAGAAGTAATCTATTTAGTGGTGGTAGTATATAAAGAAAGGTTGCATATAAGGATATAGTATAGGAAGGGAAAATGTTATGGTGCAATTTTAATCTCAAGGTTTAAGGGAAGATAAAGAGTGTACACACCTACGCCATTGTGATCGATTCTGAGTCATGTCACCCACAGTCTCCAACCATTGGTTACGATAGTCACACGGACCCCAACCAGGTAATCTGCATCTGCCAACATGGCTCAGACTAGAAGTTAGTGACTTCAAGCACTGATGCCATGTTTTGGTTTGGCCGCCCCTAACTCTCTTCCAACCATCCCCTACACTAGTCATTATAGCGCGTCATGGTAATCGGTGTTCAGGCACACGTAACTCGTGGCCTAACCATCTCAGTCGATGAAGATTCATCACCTCATCAACTGATTTACTATCATTCCCTAATACCCTGCGTCTAACCTCACTATTACTTACAGGTGATCCCAACCGATGCGACCAATATTTCATCTATGGTCAAATACTAGTAACTTACGAGTATCTTCTACTCTTAATGGCCATGTTTCACAGCCGTAAAGTAGAACAGAACGAACTGCTGCGCAGTATACTCGTCCCTTAATTGATAGACGGATATCTCGTCTTCGCCATAGGTGACGTAAGTTGGCAAAAGCCAAACGAGCCTTTTGAATCCATGCAGAGATTTCGTCAGACACCAACCCATTAGGGCTGATCAGACTTCCAAGATAAGTGAAGTTGTCCACGCGCTCGACTACTTCGCTCCCTATCCTTAGTTCAGGTGTTGACGCAGGCCAGTCCTGGAGTAACAATTTACATTTGGATGGGGAGAAACGCATCCCAAACATCCTGGCATTATTACTCAGTTCTAACAGAAGACTCTGCATTTTGCCAGCGTCTTCACCAAACAGGACTATGAAGATGCTGGCAAAATGCAATGACCATAACCGTCATAGGGAGATTATATAAAAAAACTCCGATAATTCATAGCAAGCTCGAAGCTCCTTAAACCATTATTTATTGGTGTAATTTAATCAAAGAAGTATATTATACTACGTCACATATGAGTTAAATTATTCTGAAATATGACACAAGTGTACAGAAAATTTTACGATTAGGCGAAATCAAAGACGAGAGAAAAAATGAACAAGAATTGTATACAAACAGAGAAAAGATAAGAAACGTACCTTCCGCCAAAATCGAAGTTGAGATATCTCTGAAGCATTTCATATGCTAAAAGTGTTACTCCAAATTGTGGGCTAGATCGAAATACGCGGGCACCAGATCCCTTCCAGAATGCACGACCACCCTCTTCACGCCAAATTTTCCTAGCCGCATCAATTACTCCTGTATATGTTGTTTGACCTGTGCGCGCTACAACCTAATAAAATATAGTGAATTATAGTTATAATGATATAATTTAATCGTATACTACTACTTAAAAACATGATGATTTGTCAGTTTTCCTACGATCTCCCTACCAGAATTTTATTTCAAAAAATTTTCTGTACAACCAACATTTTATATTTAAACGGTGCCTAAATTAGACAAGAGTCCATTTAACTATTTAAGCAGCACCAAGAGTGGTATTGTTTATTATACTAATGTAAGAGCAACCGCTTAAATACTGGGTATTTTTGGTGACTACTCCAAGAGATTGATTACTAAGAGTGAAAGAAGGTATATAGTCCTGATAACCGCCTAAAAATATTTCATACTTTGACCATGCAAAACGTAAGTTACACTAATGAGTGCTAATCACCGAGCGATTACACGGGATTTTGACAGTATTTAAGTGGTTGGATAGAAACACATTACGATTTGACCTGATCACAGTCGAACAGTTTCGCTTAAAGTTAACAGATCTATACTATCTTTGTGTACTCACTCCAAAGCTAGCTTTAGAACGCAACTGATGATCACGCTCCTCTACACTTGTGGAGACCTTTACTATGAACAGTTTCCCCGAAAAGACAACAAACATTTCTGAATAACGATTCAAAGGTAGATTTAATGTCTAATAATGCAGTAGTCATAGTTAATCTACTGGTATTGGTTTTTAATTCATCTTACGAGTGCTGTTTTTATAGATGCTTATGATCTTATGGTCAAGTTCAATTCACTTTTTAAAACAATTTAGCCAGTTTATTGACAAGAATGAGATCTCAGTTCTTGAAAAGAACTAAAAGTATATAGTTTTAGAGATTGCAAACTTTCACTTTGTCAAGTAAAGTGATAAACATAGGTTCGTTTTATACCTTTTAATTCAATTTATTACTTGTTCGTTCCTTTTTTACGTTACATTATACTACTCATTAATAAAATTTGAAGTATTACGTATTTAGAAGCAACAAGGAAGAGACTGTAAGTGCTTGAAATCAACTTGTTTTCTTTTATAGATAGCTTGTTAAATTTACTTTTGATGTACACTAACATGAAAGTTGTCAGAGAAATCAAATGGCTACATGTGATTAACGTAGAATGTCAGTTTAACAATATCTCATTCAAATCAATACAGTGAATATGAATTGAATACATTTCACAATATAGTTCATAATAACTAAATAATCAATGATTACATATAATAAGCAATAAGTAGGTAACAAACGTGATCAAAAGGTAGATGAAGTACATAATTAGTACCTGTAATCTTGTTTTGATTACATCCGCTGGTGTGGCTAAAAATGCTGCAGGAACTCCAGAAATTGTTGCAGCCATTAGTAAGCTTGTTGACGAGTTACAACCATTTTCATTTGCAAAATATTTTTTCAAACGACTATATGAAGTAAAGTATATAGCTGAAAATGGGATGTCACGCAAAAAACAAGCTCGTGATCCTTTGTAAAGCCCGAAAAGTCCTAAATCTTTGACAACCTGTTACAATACAAAAAGAAAAAAACAGATAAGTTGAGAGTGATTATCAAACTATTTAGGTAGTTTTTTAAAATCTACGATCGGCCCCCAAATACTCTGGTACGGCCGGGAGTGGGGAGAGTCCACTCTCCCTCTCCAAATGCTCTCACATGGCCACGCGTATATAGCATCTGACAGGCAAGTCCTACTCACTGCCTTCTCGTGGCATTACTGTTGTTTACGAAATTGAGAGGACGAAAAGCGAATGCACGGCGCTTTAACCGGGTTGGTAGACACGGAGAGTCCACCTAGAAGAGTTGAAAAACCCTGATTCCAAACCAATGGTGTACATGGGCTCCATTATCCTGAAGGAACAAATGGCATATGAACCAATTACTGGTCACCGACTGCCATGGGACTGCATCTCCTTACGATGCTCCACTGCCTTGTGGATCAAACCTTTAGGTCGAAGGCTCCGGGTGTGGCCCTTTAAGAAAACCACCTGCTTCAGTTTGGGCACCTGTGCAGTATCACAGTCCTCACACAAATCAAATGAGATTTGTGCGGCGCATATATATCTGGTGCCCCTTTGTACCGATATTTATGTGTTTAAATAAATAATCGTTCATAGTGTATATATAGATTCTGTATACACGCCTACCAACATTTAATATTCTTATACTATTAGAGAATTAATAGGATAATATCAGTTTGATAACATTGTTAAGATCATTAACTGTTTAAACTTCAATTAATAGCAAATTTAGATTAGCAGTTAAAATGATCGGACCGTTTTTCTTGAATTTTGAGAGGAAACAAATGTATTTCCAATAACAACTGTTTACATATTAATAAATGATTGAAAATAAGTATCTAATTAAACAACCTCACTGGGAAGTGGTTTAAAAAAATAGATGGTAGAAGTCAATGAACATTCATTATATAACACATAGGAATGTTAATCAGAAAGGATTAATCTAGTCTTTAAATGCATACAAGTACATGTGACCCAGATAGCCAACAAGTTTATTATCAATGTTGAAAACAACCGGAAAATTAAATCATGTTTATGCGCAGTTTATAGACATCAAAATGAATGAATTCATGTGTCTACACTCTACCATGAGTTTTTATTCTGTTCTTTGAGTTTTCATTTTTCAACTCTAAAATACGAAAAAGACTGATGTGACTCATCACATAGTGTCAATTAGTTGGTCGCAGATAATTTAGGGTTTATAGTTTTGAGTACCTATATAAATATTGTACGAGAGAAGTTATAAAGATTAATTGAAATACATATCTTACTGAGAAGGCTGATAAATGCCTTGTATTAGCGACTTCTCCAGCAACTTGAAGTCGTATTTTTACAATTTCCAATGGATTAGTAAAAATTACTTGGCTTGCTCCTGCGCAACCTCCAGACAATATTTCAGCATATATTGAAATATCACCATTCGGTTTTGTAAATTGATCACGAACTATATCATTGACGGTAAGTTTAATTGCTTTTTCTGGTGCAACACCTAATATCTGTGGTCCTAAACCTCGGTACAGACCGAAAAAACCTTCAAATCTTAAAAAAAATACAGGATGAAAAAAGATATGAAAGATGTTGAGAAGATAGTATGGATAAAAAAAACCATAATTGAGATGGTGAAGGTAAGACTTCTCTAAGAACAAACTGAACTGTCTGGGGGATGAAAATTAAACTAATTAATTAGACATCTAGTGATTTAATCAACGAAACACAATATCACCAAAATTCTTATCTTGAGCTACAAATATTCTACACTGTTAGTTGCAACAACCACGAGGCAAAAAGTTTCTATGAAGTTAAACCATGATCTGCATTTTTTTAACACTAAAATTATGCAAATAATTGATCAGTGATCACTAAATTTGACGACACCATTTAGTTGATAAACTATTGACATGGGATTCAAGCATATGAGCTTGTATCATTAATACATCACATTACTCTAATATAATAACCGGTTACTAGGCAAAAATTTACGACTGGTAACCAACCAGATAGATCACTGAACGGAGCTATCAGAAGAACAATGATCTATAATTTTGAAAGATTAACACAAATGAACTAAATTAATGAAATAATTCATAATTACAAAATTAGCTATTTACACATTGAAATGATAATCGCAATTTATTATAAGCTTGGAATACTTGAAATTTTATCCTTTTTATTAAAAATGAGTCGTAAAACTAACAAATTTATTGAACACATGGGGAATAGGAAAAATGTAACCAAATTCAAGAAATCACTGAGTTTTAAGAGTGAAGAAAGTATACACGCAACATTTAATTTTACGACTGAACAATAAGGAAGTAAGAGTAAAAAGACAACAACATTAAATCAGAATGCATTGAAAAAAAGATTAAAGATCGGAACACATACCCAAATGGCTGCAGAAACAAATGAATTTTAATGGTCAAATAAGATCACAGGATAGAAAAATATTTCAGAAGGGGCTTTGTGGATATTTCAGTATTTTTATAGTTTAAATCATGAGTTAATTGAAGCTAGACCACCATGGAAAACCTGGAAGCACTGGACTGCTGGTCTAGCTTCAACTGACTCATGATTTCAACTATGAAAAAGACAAATATTTGGTTGAGAACGCTCATAAGGTTTATATCAAATCAGCCTTTGTAGTGTTGTACAAAAACCTTCAAGGGTGTATACTAAGGTTTATTGAAGCATTGGCTATACGGAAACTGAAACCACCTTATGTATTCAAAAAACAATTTGTTCTTACTCTTAACCTACCCTGGTAATACTGATTTATTATCCAGAGTGGTTATCACATTGTTTTTGTGTACTTTATTTTCTTTCTGTGTTACGGCTTATCTTTAATCTGTCTAGTTGACCTTTTATTTTTCACATAAAAAAAGTCTTAACAAGTATATGTGTGATCAGATTGTGAAAATAAATCACATAATTCTAATAACCTTCGTTTTCTCGTTGCACTGTCGAAATTTATCAAAGGGGTTAATTGCCTTAAGTTAAAGAGTGGCTTAACATTTATTGTTTTAACCCATAGACCTTTGCCAGCTTGTAAAACTTACATTTACACCAGAATAATACTTTATTTACAAACATGTACATCCTGTAAGAACATGTGTAGTTACGATAAACTTTTCTATAAACAGAAAATATCTCCTTCAGTAAATTTTAATGTAATTTAAAGAAATTACTTACAGCAGATTAACAAGAAATGAAAGGTAGTAATGTAGTCATGTGCACACTTTGAATTACTTTAAAAAAGGTTAAGAAATTGTATACTCTAGTTACCTTGAAGTGAATAAGATTAGTGAGTTTTGATATCTGTCAGTCAGCTACAACGTGAGACCAGACACATATATGCATCGGTCCAAGCTGCCACACCTCATTAGCACAACAAGGTGAACACCAATTTCATAGAGGTAAATACTTCAATTGTAGTAATATATAAAAGAAAGACTGAATATAAGGATACAATACATGAAGAAAGAAAGATATAAAGTAATTTTAATCTCGGCGTTTAAGGGAAGACAAAGAGTGTATACACCTACGCTATTGTGATCGATGATTATTTGAAAAACTAAATCCTGTTGAATACGAGTTGAGAAATGAATTAAGAATACAAAACTATCTAGAACTTAGTTCGAGTTCCGAAGTTATAGTAATGTATAAAATGCAGCGTCATAAAAAACGACCTACGAAGGTTTCAGCATACCGGGTGTTTTCTATATGAAGTACTTTAATTTATAAACATTGCGACCAGTATACAGTCTTTGTGGAGAGTGTAGAATTTTCACGGCTTAAATCACACTGATCTCAGCTAGACCACTACGGAAAACCAGGAAGCATTGAATAGCTGATTCGTCCTAGTGTAAGACTATTCAGAAGTGAGCGTTCGAAACTTCATTAGAGATTGAACTCAGGACTCTTGGTTTCGTCCAAACGCTTAATCTTCAGATCACTGAGAAGGCATTCAATGGTGTGGATGTCTAACTTTGATCGATTCGCCATATTGCGCGACTAATCTGCATTGTCTACAAAGGATAACTGTCTCACACTCAACATGGTTGAACTCCATTACTGGTCACGAAGAACTAAAGGATTTGCACTGCTGAGAAGTTTCATACTAGAACGAATCAGCTGTCTGTTGGCTCCTATTTTTCACTGATGATCTAGCTAAGATCAGTCCATAGTTTAAACAATAAAAATATTGTAGAATTGGAATATTGTAATATTGTTCTATGCACCTCATAAGATAAAATGTACGAATTAGTTAAAAAGGTGTAAGTGTTCAATGACAGGAATTTAGTTAATGAAAAGTATATGACCAAATCAATCAAAAAAATAGTGGGCCGGAAAACGACTCAAACATGTAAAACTTTCAAAATGGAGTCATTGATTGGTAGGATTTAAATTAAGGAGGTGATCATCTCAATGAAGATTATGAAAAAATATACAGTTTTAAAAGCTTACCGAATAACTTTACGAAAACAATCCCAGCTATTTTTATACATAAGTTCACCTATAGTTGATCCAGTAGCACGTTGATTTTGCATTCTTGTCTTAACAAGATCGATTGGGTAGACGGCAGTAGCTCCAAATGCACCAGCAATTGAGCCTAAAGTGAACCGATAACATTGTTCAAGTATGGACATTAAAAAACTTCTTCCATGAGGTACATTTATATTATTTCCAGACTTTCCCTAGTTATATATAGAATGTAATAAGACATATATTTTATTCAGTGACTGTTTTGTTAAAAATACAATGTTATTCGGGCATAAACTCATCTATGTAAAACAGTAAGCATAAAAAATTTGAAGAAAAAATATTTTATTAAGAATAAAACGATAAATAAATCAAATAAAGTGTTAAAATCTATCAATAACCAAATCATTAGGATTAGATTACAGCAAATAGTGATGAGTTGAATTATTATGACTACTAACTTGAGTAACACTTTAGAAAAGGATAATAATTAACGTCCATAAAATAATTTCTTTATTCATTCATTCATCAGGTACCGATTTGTGCACTTGGTTTCGAGAAATACCTTAAGCTTGAAGGCTAGTGATACTATCCGGTTACCAAAACTGAAGTAGACAGAGCTCGAAGTTCGAACTTGAGACATAGTGGTGGGAAGCTGAACGCCTTAGGAATTGAGTCAGTACTATTATAAAATATAACACTAAAATAAGTTGGTTACCTATTCAATGTTTATAACCACAAACCACCACTTACTGTTGTGATGAAGCGGCGTGAAGTCAAATAAATGGTGGGGGAGTGTGATGTGATAAAACAATCAAATTTTTTATTTTATTGTATTTACATATTTTTTTGTGGATTGATGATATCCAGCCTGTTGTTAAGTTAAGTAGTGTCAGGGAACTCAAATTATCGGCAAAAAACCACGGTGACACTAACAGGTTTGGTTTGTTTAAATAGACTGAGTTCATTCAAGAGAAGATGAAATAAAGCAGTATAAGTAAAAAAGTTTTTGATTGAAGTTCTAGCTTATGTTGGAAATATCATAGATTATGATTGGGATGGGATTTTACACAAAAACTTGGAGCTATTGTCGTTTAAAAAGAGAAACTAACCTACTGATCTTAAAAGACATCCTCTGCCAGCGATCGGTTTACTGACAGCTATAACTGACACATCACTACAAGAAATGAGGTACAATGCAGGGAAAGACTTACCAAGCCTAATAACTAATGGCTTTCAACCTCCAACTTATCGCGAAATAACAATATGATGGCTACGTGGATAAGGTAGAAAAAAAGCTTTGACAAACATAGTAGTAGTGTACCGAAAATAAAGAAGCGTTTTGAAAAATTATAATAAAAGGGAACTCATTCATCGACTATTGTTATCTATACTATCATTCTACATATTTAAAAGGATTTTGGAGCAGTGGTTAAATAGTGTACCGTTGGAAGAACGAAAAATATACTGATTACGTTACTCAACGATCAACGTAAAACAACTAACAACGGACATACCTGAAGTCGAGCCTGCATATTGTATGACAAAGAATCGTCTTCCACAGGGGTAATAGCACATAAATCTTGATAAGTAACGCATCTGAAAATTAGAAAAAAACAATGGAAGATACGGCTACTCATCGACACTAGCTAGTCATAGAGAATTTCCATTAGGCTGCGTTTTTGACTTTTTAAGGTTGCACAGTAAAACATTTCTGCTATGCAGTAAATGTGGTAACGAATTTTGGAAAATAGATTTTATCCACTAGACTTTGTTTGCGTGCTTGATGTATTTATTTATGGAATTCGATGAACACTGAATAACGGAGTGAAGATGATAAAAATTAGATTGCGGTATACTAATTACGGATAGTTTATGCCCCGTTTTTTTAAAGCAATCGACGGGAGGAATAAATAAGCACCCATGGACATTCCATCTAAAGCACAGTCAGAAACTGAGGTTTTATCACGTTGATTTCGGTATTGATCATAAGTAATCAAGAATCGATTGGAACCAAAAAGCAATTTTATGTATGTTACATTTATAACCAAATACTTATTTATTTTTCAACATAATTTCAAAATAGTTCTTATTTTAACGGTTTATTAACTTAATACAAGTCAGTGTGATGGATATTTTCAGTGACACAGCGATCTATATCCAAACAAAGCTGAATGACAATCGTAAAATTTTTTTATATGTAAACAAAAATTTCTTGGTAAACCCGCATAACATACAAAAGTGAACAATCTTGTTTTTAATTTATATGTGTGAAAAATATTGGGTCAATCTAGTTATTCTGTGTGTCAATGATAAGCGAACAAGTCAGTTACATAAGTAAATAACAGACAAAACGGCCGTTCAGCGCTTCCAGGTTTTCAATGGTGGGCTAACATTGGTTGATTCATGATCTCAATCAAAACCCAGCAATCTCCACAACCCTATATTGATAATAGGTGAAAATTGATGACATATGCAGTAGTAATGATAATCATCATAAGAACAGGATGATATATATATATATATATATATATATATATATATATTAGTGTGATGTCATTGAGTAAGTGGTGAGGTTTTCATCTATATGACTGACTAGCTGTTGAAATGTAGTGTTGCTGATAGCAAATCTTCGGAACGAACACTGGAACTAAACTGGCGCTGGGAAGAAATGACATTTTAGATTACCGTTACGACCAGACTTGCTTTGTGTTGCACCCCCAATAGTCATTAAACACCTATCTACTGTTTATAGATCACCTACTATGTAGAATCGTCATTATCAATAATAATTACTTTATTATTATTGATATTACATAATACTTATTGATTAATCAGTATAAATATGCAAGTAGTGAAAATAAACGGAAAAAGTGAAGGGAATTACGAAGATCATTCATAAAGCTTCCTGTGGTGAAAAAAGATAAACCACTTTATGTGTTCAAAAACAATTTGTTTTTACTCTTAACCTACCCTGGTAATACTGATTTATTATCCAGAGTGGTTATCACATTGTTTTTGTGTACTTTATTTTCTTTCTGTGTTACGGCTTATCTTTAATCTGTCTAGTTGACCTTTTATTTTTCACATAAAAATGTCTTAATAAGTATATGTGATCAGATTGTTCGAAATGTATTGCGCAAATATATCACAATTCTGATAAACTTCGTCTTCTCATTGCATTGTCGAAAAAAGATAAAGATTATAAACTTCATCAAGCACTGGGGTTGTTGGTTCGAATCCCCACAGTTTATGCTTTGTGTAAAAGACAAGACTGAACCTTATAGGCAAAGTTGAAAGTTAAATAACAAATTATTTTGAATGCTTTTGTCTTGTCTACTATACGATCACTATCACCTGAGTGCGACAGTGGCCTGTATTAATTTCGTTTGACTCTTGGTAAGACCACAAAGGGAGATACTTGTTGACTGATTTCACGAATCGCCTTGACCGATTTAACATTTTTTATACACGTAAGTAATGAAGTCTTATAGAGAGTAAATTGAAGAAAAATATTGTTCGTCACTATGTCTTCTAATTTACAGAATGGGAATGTTCAATAATTAAAAACTAGAATAATTCTGGATTTGCATAGTGAATATTTTATTTATTTATATTAACTAATTACACAGCATATGGACCACACTAAGCTTGAAGGCTAATGATACTACTCGGTTGCCCAAACCAAGGTAGACAGAAAGGGGCTCGAACCTGGAACTTAGTGATTGAAATGCGAACTCCTTAATCGTTAATGTGAATTATACTTCCCTCCGAACATGGTGTTACGCCATAGACCTCACATATTTGAATGAGCATTAAGGTGAGTATTGAGATTTACTTGTATTGATCTATTTATTTAACAATAACATATCAAAACGGAGTTTATAAAGATTCAAATTTGGATACTTCCGATGAGAAAATGAATATAAAGATGACAAAATAAGTATTTTCACTTACCCATCTTTCCGAAGAAGTGAAGTGAGCTGAAATAGAATACTCATTTCCATAGGTGAAATTTGAGAGAAACATTGTGCTGCATTCAATATTTCTTCTAGAATTGACAAATTAATGGAGATCAAGAATAAAATGGAAAATAAGAGAATTTACTGTTAAATGAAATTTCTTGAAAAATTAGCTGAAACAGAACAAATGAACAAGCTATCCCAATTAAACATTTTGGTGAAGAAAAATGTTTTAAGCAGTCTTGTTAGAAAACGCTGTTGAATGTCGTTTATTAACACTTGTATACTTGAATGAAAGCTTATGAAAAACTATTGTTTAGAATGGATGATTACTAATGATATTTCTCATGAACATTGAAAATCACTAAGTTAATTCTATTTCAGTCTGATTTATCAAGATGTGTTTTCCATCTTGGAGACTCTATGATCAACTTTCATTAGTCCTGTTAAACAAGGATTTTCAAAAGGTGTCAGTTAATTATCTTGTGTAAGTGAATAATAGGGAATTACACGGTATGACCGCGATGCACCAATCAAAAAGGTAGTTTCCGCCACCCAGTGAAATGTCTACTTTTCGAAAGATAAAAGTAGCGTTTCTTAGATGTTAACACGGATATACTATGCTTGTTATCTTAGTCATGCAATCTCATATACCTATTTTGAATGATGAAGCCGAATGTATTTTCATATTTGTCAGATTTCTAATGAGTGTAATTAGTTAGGCATTTAAAACTTACAGAAACTAGACTTTTTGTTTCATAACCTGAGACAGGAATAGGATTATTAATGATTTTTATGTTAAGTATGTATACAGAATGAAAATCCGTCCACAGAAATTGAAAACGCTGTAAAAGGAAGATTAGGTCCTCAAGGTATTTTGAATATAATTATATGGCTAATATGTTGTGGATCTGAGTCTAAATTTTAGTTTACTCAATACCTTGACGGTTATATGGATCGAAATTACTAACTGTCAAATACCATTCACTGGTTGTGAACCTCCTTTTATTTCTGAGGCTGGAACACTTGTAAACTTCGTAAATAGGAGATATAAACTAAGAAAATGACTACGTAGGATATCTTCAAGATGTTAAGGGAATTTAAATTTTCAAAATTTATTTGACTTGTTGGGGATGTGCTTTTATAAATACAACTTATGAAAAAAGAAATCTATTGAGATGAATTTTCCTTATATTAGGTTACTGAGTGTGAACATTGCTCTTCAACTTTTAATATATTTTTACTACAATTTCTATTTAGTGACAAATGCTTAGTTCATGAATTCTAATTACTGTGACTGATCTGCAACTGATTAACTGATACATACTTTTGATTGATATACTGACGGTTCCATTACTAAGTTGATCTTTTCACTGTAGTCAGCAGATCAGGGAAGAAAAGGGTAAAATTAATCACGTTGACTGTATTGAAGTTTTGAAATCTACGTGTATGATGACATCCGAAGGTGCGGCACAAAGTCATTGTGTTCTTGATGGTATTTTTTGATATCATAATGATGGTTGAATCATTAGGAATTTTATTGAAATCATGAACCGATCAATGTTGGACCATCAATGGACACCTGTAAGCACTAGACGGTCTTTTCGTCCTTGTATTGGACTCGTCAGGAGTGCTCATATTAGGACGAAACGGCCGTCTAGTGCTTCCAGGTTTTCGATGATGGCCTAAGATTGATCGGTCGATGATTTCAATGAAATTTAACAGTCTCCACAACCTCAAACTGAAAACATGAGGAATGCACTGTTCACGAACTATGTTTTAGTTCAGCTACTATTACAATGGAATAATTTTGTAAGATAGCGAATCCTATAAAATGAATATTCACATCCATAAAAAATGTCTACAGAGAGTGTAACAATAATTGAGTTATTGATATGACCTTCACTTAGAGTTTTTAATTACTCAATTATACAAGTGTGATTCGGGTCACGTGTGGATATCAATTCATAACAATTCTGAAAACTTAACAGTCTATGTAAGTGGTGAAATACTATGCTGCTGAGGACAGTCATAAGTTATATTATTCCTGTTTGGCCATGGTAAATTTCTGAGTAAATGATCATCCAAGTAAGAGGAATATGGTTAACTATTTGAGAAATCCACAGAGAATGATGTAAGTTGGCTTACTAATACTGTTTTCTTTTCATATAAACAATTAGACATGTAGGGTTCCTAGAATATTGTTTAACTGTATACACAGCAAAATAGTAGTGAGAGATTTTAGAAGTCAATTAATTTTCTTTAATAGTAAAATTACTGTTTTAAACAAACAACATTGTCAGTTACATTATGAATCATGACAAAAATGCGCTGTCAATCTCTTCATGAAAATGATTAAAAATTACCGATGATATTTATTAATTACATAATTATTGATTAACAGCTAAGTATGCAATATACATAAAAATCCAGGTTATGAAGAGCAACATACTTAATATCTAGGAAACGACTACCTACTGGTAACTAACCTTTAGTTAATTTTACTTTAGTGTTCCCATTAGTTCGACTTAAATACACTCTTTTAACTAATTCCATATTCGTCAAGAGTGTAATGAAAGCCATATAATAAGCAAAGGTAATACGACCACCATCCATTTCGCTTTGTAAAACCACCTAGTAAGCATAAAGAAAATGTTATACTGGGAAACTTTTTATAAACAAGGAATGATTCATAAATAATTTAGATTGTTAATTAATATTATGCTAAAAACAAACAGTAACTTAGGACTTCTAGATGAAGTTGAGAGTAAGGCATGATGGAGAATCATGGGGATTTGCTAGAAAGTGAGTTAGATGTGTTAAATTCCTATTTTGATATACACTTTGCACAAGTAGTTAACTAAAAAGAAAAAGTTTATTTTCATAGAGTTTTACGTCACTCTTTATCCCATTCCAACTCATATTATGGGAATGAGTGAAATAATTAAAAATGGAGAAAAAGTTAGTGAGCTTTACAGGGAACATCATCCGATAGGGTATTTATGCAAACAACAATTAGCTCACTCGAGTCAGTTTAAAAGAACTAATATTAATTTAACAATATTTAATATTGAATAACCATTCAGTAAAACTATGCAATAAATTCCTATATAAGCTCAGTTGCTTAATTACTAAATATGGTAAAAGGTGTTAAATGCACAGAAAACCATTAGCTTTCTATTTATTTTGATAATTTCATTTTGAAGATATGAACTTTCATCCTTTTTTGCCATCTCCCCATCCATCGAAAACAAACTTTATCTGCATTGTAATTAGAGACGTTATTTTATTATTGGACAGTGGGTTCTTTAGTACGCTAGTTTTTTCTGCCCTGCTTTTAAGGTAGTTGTAATTGCTTGGTCAAATCAATTTTCTTTAGTTTATACCAAATAAATCTTCGGGAAAATTATTTTCTGGAGTGGCCGGGTTTAGAAGATGTTATTTCCGAAAGAAGAATAAATGAATAGTAACTGCTAGGAAATATTTACGGACTATTATTACATATATATTGTTGGTATTCCTTTTATTATAAGCTTTCATTTGACCTATCGGCTACTGTTACACGACTTACCATCCTTAGCTTATTCCTAATTTATTAGTTACAGTGTCCCATAAGCACAACCACTTTTGGCATGATCCTGTATAATGATTATTTTACATTCTAAGTTGTGATGCGGTCTGGTCTGCTTGTATATAAACTACATATATCTGAAATATACGGTGTACATAGTGGAAGCAGATTATGGTGTTCTGAACTGAACGGGCTGGGTTAGGCGAAAATCAACCACACAGAAGACCAATAAGGACTCAGAGTTGACTAAAGGCTGCTCGTGCTAATGAACGCATCACTGGTTTCGCACAGGGACAAGGTCATACAAGTCGGTGTTCTGATTGATGATTTTGTCACGTGATATTTAACAAGCCAAATGACATAACGGAAGATAAAGGGGAATTGTGAAATGTAGATATCAGAATCGAAGCTAGGAATCAGTGGCATATCAATTAAAAAGACAAATGCTAACATAACAAGGATGGGAGCTTACGCTCGTCGCTGATCAAGTTATTAATCTGATGCAATTCTTACAGGGTTGATGGAGTGACTATACAACACCACCTTAACTGAACCGGTATTCACGTTAGGAAGAGTGGGTTTAGCATGCAAAGGGACTTTTACTAAGTTAAACCAAGGTACCATTATTATAAAAACGTCTGCATACAAAGCTAATTGATCTCAGAAAAGAGTGAAATCGTATATCCAGCTGTTAATGACTTTAAATAATGATGTTACGTTTTAGTTTGAGCACCTCTAGTTTTCTTTCAAACTACTCTTACATCATCTAGATGTAAACTACATGATAGAAACGTAATGGATTATTATATGATCTCGTTAGTTTAATTTTTGTTATGGTAATAAGTGCAGTAACTTGATCCGGTACATATTTATGCTAGATCATTTGGTTTACTTTACATTTAGTAAAGTTGGATCACTTAAGAAGTAACAACAAACATAATCAAATTTAGTGATTCAATGGACTTATATGACTACTTACTGTGAGTAAATTTTCTTTAATCAAAGGAGTCAATAAACGATTTTTCAACTGCAAAATAATACTTTTAAACTGATCAACGGTAATTGTTCCGGTTTTATCTTGATCCATTTGCTTAAAGGCTTGGATAGCATGCTCATTATTGAAATCCTAAATCATTCATGCATACACAAATACATATGCAAATATATTGAAAGTAAAACAAAGGGGAGAATCGTTGTGTTACAAGATTTGTAATAAATTTAACGAAATAATAAAAAAATGTGAATAGCAAATTACAGTGGAAATGAGAATTTCCCACTATTATATATATATATAAATATAAATATATATAAATATATATATATATATATGTCCGAAAATATAGCTGAATCAAAGTGATTTTTTCAAGTTGCATAAAAGCATACTGCAGATGTTTTACAAAATAAGAGAACCGTCCATTGGATAAAAACTTGTGTTGTCAAATTACTGTTTTAGAGCTATTTACTAGTTCCGACTGATTTGCGAAATAACCTCTGAAAATGTCTAATGGCGATCAGTAACAGTTGTATTCAGTGAATGGTCTTTATCGAATTATTTTCCTGCATTACAATAAGCGTTAATCTTTCTGTTAAGATGCGAAACCCAACACTCAATCTTTAGAACATCATAGCTGTTACTACTATGCTGCTAATATACAAAACATTTTATTTACTAGATATCAGTCGTTAGAAAAGCTTGTGATTTTCCAGACCAAAGTAACGATATCTTGAGTTATAAATGTTTCTTAAATGATATTTTATGTTGTATTACTTTGAATATAAGTGAGGTTTAATTGTCTGGGTAACTAATTTCCAAGCATTTTATCCTTCACTCCAATCTGCATAACCAGACTGTACTGGTATCCTTTAGATAAGCCGTTCAACTTACAGCCAGAAATATGAGTCTAGGAATAATGATGGAGATTATTTATAAATGTATCACACTTCAGCTAACAAAATCACCAGAAACATGGTAGAAAAACAGTCGGGTCATACTATAAATTTGCTACACACTTATATACTGTTTGTGTTTATGAAGAGTTTGATTAAAAATGACGAATAATTAGCACCGTATTCCCTACCAGAATTTTACAGAAATCGGGATAATATCCGAAGTCTTGATAGACAGCAGAATTTGAGTCACATGTGGGCGTAGTAGCGGGACCTAGATCATCCATGTAAAACCAATTATTATCTTTTAGTCTTTTGCTTGTTTCAAGTTCGATCTCCATAGATGCAAGACAATCCGTAGTCATTACCGTTTAATACTTAGGTATAGCAAAGTCTTTCAATAAGCCAACGGATCGTATTAAGTGTAACATGAAGTGAAATTAAATCACTTAACAACTAACGTTTTATAAGCACCGCATTATGTCCAGGTAAAATGACTATGTCACACAATTATTTAAGGAATTACAATTGAACACAAGATAAGCCCTCAGATGGAATCTTGAAGGCCATAGGAAAAGAGAAAGACCAAAGAACACATTACGCTGAGAAATGGAGACAGATATGAGAAAAATGAATAAAAATTGGATAGAACTAGAAAGGGAGACCCAGGAGAGTGTGGGTTGGAGAATGCTGGCCCCCAAACGCCCTGGTACGGCCGGGAGTGGAGAGGGCCCACCCTCCCTCTCGAAATGCTCTCACACGGCCACGTGTATACAGCCTCTCCTAGGAAAGTCCTACTCACTGCCTTCTCGTGGCATTACTGTTGTTTACGAAAGTGAGAGGACGAAAAGCGAATGTACGGCGCTTTAACCGGGATGGTGGACAAGGCGAGTCCACCTAGGGGAGTTGGAAAACCCTGATTCCAAACCAATGGTGTACATGGGCTCCAGTATCCTGAAGGAACAAATGGCATATGAACTAATTATTGGTCACCGACTGCCATGGGACTGCATCTCCTCACGATGATCCAGTGCGTTGTGGATCAGACTTTTAAGTCGAAGGCTCGGGGTGTGGCCCTTTAAGAAAAACACCTGCTTCGGTCTGGGCACCCGGGCGGTATCTTAGCCCTCACACAATTAAATGGAATGACGATTTCTTGTGTGGCGCATATATATCTGGCGCCTCTTTGTATCAATATTTATGTGATCAAATAAATAAATAATGCCAGTCAGCGGCCTATGCTCCATTGGGAGTAACAGACGTAAGTAATTAAGTAAGTAATTGAACACAACTGAAATATATACATGTATAACTAAAATTATATTTTACATGAATTATTTGAGTAAATTCATCGTAGTGAATTTTACGTGATCTATCCTTGGAAAAATGCAGGTTGATGAAATCACAATCGAAATTAAACGTGAACTCTTTGTTCACCAATGTCATATCGAGTGTTTTCTTAAAGTTGTCTAAGCATAAAAAATGAACACAAAAATACAAAATAAGTATTATCGAATGGAAATACACAAATTTAAAACATGCTGTGATACTTATTAACATTTCAGGGAATTAATCCGATGAGTATGTGTTACGTCATACGACTATTTTACTACATGTTGATTTAGGTACTTCCTATACACAGGGTCAGCATGGTACATGAATGAAAAGACAAAGAACAACTAAGAAGCTGTATTGGCAAACTGAATCCAGATTAACACAACTCATTGGCATTTAAATCCCTCAGATATTTGAGCCAAACCTTAATGAATTGTATGAGCAACTCCAATCAACGGCGTCCCCTTTTTGACATCTCTCACCTACCATCTGTGTACATATGGTGCGCACAGGCACGCGATAGTATGGATTGACCCAATGTATCTGAGACCATTTAATTTTCTTCGTACGAGCATATTACAGGTCTGAATTTCAAATGAAGCATAATTTGAAAAACAACTATAAATACTAAGCCTTTGAACTTTCGTTGATTTCTAAATCATCAGCTGCAAATACAATAAAAAGAACACGACCTCGACGCATGTGGCTTAGCATGGCGGTTACATTGTTTTTGTTATTATCTATAAACTTCAATACGACCATCCCATATGTTCAATAACTGAACAAGTGAGAAAGGTTACCACAAAGACTTGGTATAGTTCTTTAAACAGAGTTGAAAATCTTATACAACTTTACGATTATCCTGGGCACCTGTTATATCGGCATATTTTATTGTTACATGAAGTGGTTTAATTGGAAAAGTACTAGTCGATTGGATCCTCATTAATAATCATTTTTATATGCTGGTATGCTGAAGGGTTTATCCAATCAACGTAGGAACCAATGTCTTCTAGTTGCCTCTGTTAACACTTCAACGAAATGTGAAATAAATGAAATCAAGAATGAGTTATGCCACTGACTAAATTGTTTATAAAACCAAACACTTTTGACAATTTATTTCCAATCTACCTTGCTCACAGCTACATTTGGTTTGATCCTGTACGATTTCTACTTTCTATTTTATGGTATGATGCGGTCTGGCCTGTTTGTACATAAACTATTTATTTGGAGATTGAATGAAAAAATAGTCAAGTGTTGGGGATGCTAGATCCCTAGAAATCACTTGGTAATAGTCTCGTCTTTGTAATTTTATTTTGGAAATTTGAATTCCTCATTCTTGAGCCAAAAATGCCCACTTTTATCTTCAGTTTGTGTTTCCCACTTGCAAAAACCTCAAATGTTATTGGTTCGTTTCCTCTTTAGTACGCTGTTTTGTGACGTTTTCCTAGGACATTTTTGTACTGTATATATATACTCATGAGTTATGTACTTTTCCGTTTGTGCTTTCGACTGCTTGTGGAACATGCATTTCCCTCGGCTGAATCTAGTCTTCTTCCTCTAGTTAGCAGAACTGGGGCGCATCGGATTAGCTTAGCTTGTCTTGTTGTTGTGTTGCTGGCTTTTGTTCTGTTCGCCAGTTTTAGGTGATACCGTAATTTCTTTAGACGTAGCACCAAGATAGTTGGTTTATAAGATGACACTGTTGAATAAAATATATTTATTTTGGGGATAGTTTCTTCTAGCACTTCATAACAGCTAGAATTACATCCAAGGGATCGTGCATTTCAGACGTCATCAGATATAACTTAGAATAGAGAAGAATCGAATGTACTGTGATTTTCAGTGAAAGTAAACTGAAATAAACCAGGACTATTGTTTATGCGGTTTTTGTTTAGAGATGGAATTTACTAAACATAATGAATACTAGTTATGGTTTGTAATTGACCGTTGTTGATATTCAGGACTGTAATTAAGCAGTCATTGTTGCCATATATGTGCATCCTGGGTGCATCGGATTGATATGGACTTTTGCATAAGTTTTAGTATATTTGGTACGTGATTAACAATGCAGCCCAGAACGCGTGCTTCGTCGTATTTAGAAACTCGTCAGCTGGATATGTCTGCAATTCAGTATTGATGTTCACATTTGGACACGAACACAGTACGTTTTGCTGGAGACGCTGAATGCGTCATCTATTGAACTACTGAGTTCAGATAATCAATAACTTGTCTAATCGATGTGAATATCATTGTCATGATGAGGATATGGACACGTAATTTCACTTACCAAATGATATGACCCCGAGACCGTCTCGATTGAACAGTTCAAATGTCCACAAATACAAAGAATCGCGTGTGCATAGAAGAGCTTCAAATGCCAGAAATTCTTCGAAAGAAATCAATCTATAATATAATAAAATATTCAAGTCAATTATCTCATAAACACATTTCTTGTAAGAAATTATTAATAAGAGATTACAAGGACAGTATATTGTCAAACATAGAAATTATCGAGTATAAATAGGTACATGGTTCTACGGTCAACTGTATACTAAACAGGTCATTCAATTATGTTAACAATGTTGAAAATAAAAATTTTTTGTAGTGCGTATGAGATATCTGGTGTCCTTGAAAAAGCTTGGACCAGACTGCCGAGAGAAACGCTGGATTTACTTAAAATTCAATCGCTGAGATTTTCACAAATATAATTTTCCTCCTTAATGTCTTATATAAATATTTATTTAGATTTTTATGGTTTTATTTTCCCTTACACATATATTTATTATTGAAGTGAAAAAAGATGCACAAATTAAGAAAAAAAACAATCACAATAACCTTGATTACCCATCTTTTGTAGTGTCGGCAGCACTCGCAATACAATTAACTGATGATACATTGTAATTTTCCTCATCGAATAAACGTAGATATTTGACAGCGAAATCTTTCGGAGTCATGTACATTTGACCATTTTTGTTAACACTGGCATACTATAGGTAAGAATAATAATAAACGTAAATGGGTACATATCGTAGTTTTTAATACATCGTATAGTGTAACTCATCAGATTTAGTTTACTGCATTCTATCATTAAAAAAACAAAACAAAATGATGTCAACCAGATGACTGATCAGTTCTAATTGTTTCATGATGGCACACTTGGAAAGGAACAGTAAGTTTGAGCTCGTATGTATTGATGAATTTAGATGGCACGAAGGTTGTTACTATGTAAATTGGAACAATATATATTAGAGGTATGAAATGCCGTTTACATTGAACTTCACTACATTCCAACTCAGTGGCACTCTTGGATCACGGTAGTTATAAGACCTGAAGTTTATGGTTTCCTAGTAGTTGAGTTGTCGGTGAACAGTGCTAAGGAGTCCTAAATCAGAATGAAACAGCCTTTTAGTGCTTCCTAGATTTCACTACTCGTAAAGCCATCAGTATGTGATGAAGACTACATTGACGTGAAGTTTTCGATTAATTACACCGAAAATTTTACTCTAATCAGTAACCAATATCATATTGTTTATTCCTTATCGGTAATTTAGTTCTACTGACCAAGTTGTGATGTAAGTGTTATACGAAGTGATTGGGTAACATGGTATATTTTATTTTATGTTAGGCGGCTGAAGACTGATAGGAAACACTGGACCAACTAACCATGAAGGGAGATACTCAAGTACCTACAGTTTGGCGGGAGGCGATAAGTAATTCTTAAGTAGTTCTTACGAGTAGTTAGCGTCTATGATTCATTAGCCTTTTCAGATAGTGATCGGTACGTGATTCAATATTATTCAGTTAACTCCACTCGACGAATATAGAGTTAGTATCACTCAATATATAGGTGATTAGGAAACATATGGCTGACTCTCGTAGACTTGTCAGATAATTTAATTGCATAAATCAATTGCTAAGTATGGGTTTATGTATTCGGCTTTGAGCCATACTTACTGTAAGGACTAATATTATTGCCCCGACTCCTTAAAGCGAAATAAGGGGAGTAAGTCTAAACTCGCAACTTAATGGTTTGATAAGTGATTTAACCACTAAAACACTACAGGTGTGCAGACAGCATTAAGTTTCAACGCAGAAAGCGCGATTCTGAAGTGAATCGAAAATGATAAGTCTTATATTGTTCACCCTAACCGTTATATAAGGATTTAAAAGAACCATGACATATTTGTAGGGTCTGTCTACATACCTACTAACTATAGCTTAAATGATGCCACTGGTAATTTTTTATTAAAAGCTGTTAGTTATATTTAAAAGTATTGAAACATTTACGTTTAATTATATTTACAGATGAGTTTAGCGTGAAATTGGGGAGACTAAGGCAATTAGAAGGACGTTAGGGTACGAACATGATAATATGCTAATAAACTCATAGTAAGGGACACTTTAGATTCTGATACAACAGCCGCTCTTTTGGTCAGGACTGGATTAAAACATAAATGGAAACTGTTTAGCTTGGGAGTTGCTGGTAACAACCCAACGAAAATATTAACAACTATTCGAATTATTTGGTTGGGCTCCCATGCGTTGGTTTGCACTAGTGTGTTTGGGGCTGCGTGGGCACAAATAAAATGTAACTGGTAAGCCCCTTTTTTGTGTTCAGGTAAGAGGTGGAGACACCAAAGATGTACTTAAGAGAGAATTAACTAAGCATTTATTGTAGAATAAAAACGAGTCTCATCATTGTCTTAAAGAAACAATGACAAAAACAGTAGGTGACCTGCAAACAGAAACATTTAGGATGATAAGACCAGCTAGTCTTTGGAAATTAGTTCGAAGCAAATAGTGTACAGAGACTCTTTCACCATAATTTCGAGAGTAGTGAGAATCGAAGGTAGCTCATACGTAAACTTAGGCGAGGATTTACCCAGTAATTGGGAGAAATACGCAAGTGAAGAAAGAGGAGAGGTTAACGTCAAGTAATGATCCAAAAACAGCTAGAGGCTGCTCAGAGAAATAGTTACTGAAGTTACCTCATTGATAATTTCTCAAGATAGGCAGCTGAAACATTTAGTAGGATATAATCCGAGTGGTTTTCAACCGGCCTTCTGTCTCTCAATATCTAGTCGTAATCTCAACGAGACAACGGAGTCGGCTCCCAGGTTTTTACCGAATTTACGGAAACTGTGACAAGCGTGTAATGAAGCAAAACAGACGGATGACGGTTTACTTTTTAAGGATGATTATCATAATATATTAAAGAGTTTAACTGAGAAACTGCCTAGGGTATTGGAATAATATAGTCCTCAGACTAATTTCGATAGTTGATTACCCCAAATTGTAAGGACACACTGTAACTAAGTGACACTAAAAACTTTGTTGCACGGTAAACATACCGTAAAATGGTGTACGGTGCTATAACTAGTAACTAAAAAACATGCCTAATAAATGCAAAAAATATCTGTAGACTACGTGTGTCGAATTACAAGTGTCCTTGTAGTGTTGCTTGTCTACAGTAGAACCACTGAATGCGTATTGTAAGCATGGAGCTGTAGTAAAAGCGTCTGAAGCTATTAATTTGAACCGGTTGGATTAGCTGGGGTATGTGTTATACAAGTCAAACCAATGTCAATCCTGTACAATGTTAAAAATTATTTCTAAATGAAAAGCGTCACTTAAATGAGACTAGAAAGTAACATTGTTCTAATGAAAAACGAGTACATGATCAGAGTATTAAGTACAACAAAAACAGCGTTAACTGACCTTAATAAAAATAGACCGTAGATCTTCCGTATTTGATTTCGAATGTACTGCCTAGAAAGAATAACACATAAGTGTCAATTTATTCGGCAAACGCCCAAATAATAGCGAAACCAACGTGGTATGCATAGATTCACAAATTATGATTTTTGATATACCTATTCCGTTAGGAGTAAACTATTGGTTGGGAAGCTTTCTGAAACTAAATTGTTGTGATGTTGATAAGTAGTTTAGAGTTAAATTTATACGAGAGACTTTTCTGTATACATTAATTTGGCTGATCGTAAGGAATAATTGACCAGAAATAGATCGACTACAGTAGGTTGCATAACCTTTTAGTGGTGATTTACCAAATCATTAACTGTTGTGGAAAGGGAGATTTAGACTTGTAACGAACGTTTGAATATTGTGAAATAGAAAGGACCCCAGTCGATAAGTGGAAAACGATGATACGATGTACCCCAAATGATAACTATCCACGATGCCCCCAAATGCCCTGGTACGGCCGAGAGTGGGGAGAGTCCGCTTTCCCTCTCGAAATGCTCTCACATGGCCACCCGTATATAGCCCCTGTCAGGGAAGTCCTACTCACTGCCTTCTCGTGGCATTACTGTTGTTTACGAAATTGAAAAGACGAAAAGCGAATGTCCAGCGCAATAACCGGGATGGTGGACACCGAGGGTCCACCTAGAAGAGTTGGAAAACTCTGATTCCAAACCAATGGTGCACATGGGCTCCAGTATCCTGAAGGAACAAATGGCGAATGAACCAGTTATTGGTCACCGGCTACCATGGGACTGCATCTCCTTACGATGCTCCACTGCCTTGTGGGTTAGACCTCTAGGTCAAAGACTCGGGGTGTGGCCCCCTAAGAAAACCACCTGCCTTGGTTTGGGCACCCGGGCAGTATCACAGCCCTCTTGCAAATAAATGAAATGGAACATTCAACTGACAATTATATTCTCGTTCATACCAGAAACAAATGAATTTGCATTATTATTATTATTGTTATTATTATTTACCATATCGCTAATTCACCCCCTTTTATCCCTAATTTGTGTAACCTTACTTTTCAACTTATGCAGCAGCTCGATCTTGGTGGAAAATCTGTCCTATCTAAACGATCTCCAGTCACTGTCTGGTTGAAAGTGAATGCTTCCACCGATTATGAATACTGAAGCAGTCTTTCTGAAACCACGTACGCAGTTCAAGCTGGCTTCCTTCAACGTTCGCACACTAATGCATATCAGACAACAGATAGGGCTGGCTATGTCTTTGGAAGGTCTTAATGTTGATGTTTGTTGTCTATCCGAGACCCGTATTCAAGACTCTAGTGAAGTACTACAAATCCGCTCTCCATTTGTCGCCTCGAAAAGCTTGTTTCACGTGCGCTTATCCGGGGACCCTGTGGCATCTTCGTCTGGTCTTGCTGGCGTTGGTGTCGCACTAAGCGCTAGGGCTGAGGCAGCACTAATCGATTGGATCCCCATTAACAGTCGGTTATGTGCTGTTAGATTAGAAAGTTCTATCAAAGTGAGAAGAAATCGGCGTGAGAAACGGTGTCTTTTCGTCATCTCCGCCTATGCCCGGACAGATTGCAGCCCGGATGCAATCAAGGATGAGTTTTACCATTAGTTAACAGTTCTCCAGAAAGCGCGTTCGACAGATATTGTAGTACTAGCCGGAGACTTGAATGCACAAGTCGGACGTCTAGGCACAGAAGAGAGTCGTTTAGGTGGCCGATGGGGACTTGTTGGTCGCAGGACAGAAAACGGGGACTGTTTGCTGCAACTGTGCACAGACCACAACCTGTTTCTGGCCAGCACTAACTTCCGGCACAGTCATCGCCGGTGTGCCACCTGGCGTCCTCCCTCTGCATCCCAAGCCTGGACTCAGATTGATCACATCGCGATCAGCTACCGCTAGCGTGGTTGTGTACAAGACTGCCGCTCCTTTTGGAGTACCTATCTGGAGTCTGATCATGCCCTGGTCTGCGCCAATCTCACCTTACTTTTCAGTGGCCGAAGGATTGACCGCCATCAACGGATTGATATTAGTAAACTGGCTGCAACTTCTGTTGCAAGTAAGTAACGAGCGGAGCTAGCTTCTAGGCTAGCTACCATCCCACCGAAAAGTATAGATGAGCATTGGCTGCATCTTCACGACGCCATGAAAATGGTGAGTAAAGCCGCATGCGGCTTAGCGAAATGTCCCACTTACAAGCACTGGGTTTCTTCTGGCTCCTTACAACTGATGGAAGCCCGTCGGTTTA